TGCCAGTCAAGTGGACAGCCCCCGAGGCCCTGAGAGAGAAGGTGAGTGGGCCTCCCCCAAGCCCCGAGCGGTGGTGGACATGGGTCCTGGGTTACCCCACCCCCCGATTCCCAGCATCTGACCCAGCTTTTCCCATCTACATGGCAGAAGTTCTCCACCAAGTCTGACGTATGGAGTTTTGGAATTCTTCTCTGGGAAATCTACTCCTTTGGGCGAGTGCCTTATCCACGAATTGTGAGTGTGGGTGCTGGGGCGGGGCATGACTGGGGCTATGTCAGAGGGGCAGGCAGGGGATGGGGCCTCCCTGGGCCCTGCCTCCCTAGTCAGAGGCCTGGAAGCCACAGGCTTGCCCTCAGGACCTTGCAGGCCGCTGCCTGGGCCTGGGCCTGGGCCCGGGCCTGAGGCAGAGCTGAAGGGGATCCCTGAAGAGGGGTGTTGAGTAGGGGTCCCCTCCTGGGTGCAGGCCCTGCACAGACTCATACCACCCATCTGCTGTCAGCCCCTGAAGGACGTCGTCCCTCGGGTGGAGAAGGGCTACAAGATGGACGCCCCCGATGGCTGCCCGCCCGCCGTCTATGAGGTGATGAAGAACTGCTGGCAGCTGGACGCCGCCTCGAGGCCCTCCTTCTTGCAGCTGCGGGAGCAGCTCCAGCACATCAAAGCCCGAGAGCTGCACCTGTGATGGCCAAGCACCCAGGTCCTGGGCCTTGGGGGCTGAACTTGGAGAGACGGGCCTCGTGCCTCCACTCACTGGGCCCCGGCCTGAACTGAGCCCAGTGGGCCTCTTTCCTCTGTCCCAGCCTGTGCCCACTCCGGCCCCTCGAGGGACCCCACCTAGGCCTGGCATCTTCTCTCATGGACCCACCTGTGGGGCTTGGCGAGCCCCACTGAAAGGCCAAGAAGGGAGGAGGCTGAGGAGCTGGAGGCAGACACCCCTACCATCGTCAGGCTTCCCCTGGCCTCCCATCTCTCAACTTCCTAGAGTTTTATTCCTTTCCTTTTTTGAGGGGTTTTTTTCCATGTGCTTATTTTTTATTATTTTTCAAGATAAGAAGAAAGAAAGTACCCAGCAAATGGGCATTTTACAAGAAGTACGAATCTTATTTTTCCTGTCCTCCCCACGAGGGTTGGGGAAACCAGGCCCCTCTCCAGGGACCCTTTGCCCGGCCTTGTTCCCCATTCCATGTTCCGTGTCCCGTGTCTCCTCGGTTGCCCCATGTTTGCGCTTGCCCATGTTGCACTGTTTGCATGCGCCCGAGGCAGATGTCTGTCAGGGGCTTGGAGCTCATGTGTGCTGCCGCCACCTGCCTTGTGAGATGGAATCATAATAAACCACTCCATGAGGACACTGCTGCCCAGCCTCGGCGCTTTCTCCGCCGAGCCTGCCTGTCTCCCATCCCCTGTCCCTGTGCCATCTTGTCCATCCCCCTGTCTCTGTAAGTGGGGCTGTGCCTGCCCTGTGAGTGGAGCGGGGTGGGGAGCACGGCCGGGAGAGGTGCCCGCCGCTTTGTGTCAGCTGCACCAGCAAGTGTCCTGTGTCTGCTGTGGGCGCTCTCACCACCTGCCCTCCCCCACCATTCTGCTATAGCCGAGCCTTGGCCCTGGGACCATCTGGGCTGTGCGGCCCTGTCCACAGGGTGATGCCCAGTGTCCTGGCTGCCCCTCCCGCTGTGCGTCGTTCAGGCCATCAGCACAAGGAGGGCTGAAGCCAAGGAAGGGGTGGAGGGGATCCAGGCCTGACCCAGTGGAGATGGGTAGAGGGCAGGAGGCAAAGATCTCAGAGAAGATGTTGACCCTAGAGGGAGAGGGGAGGGAGGCTCCGAGCCCCTGGCGGTTCTCAGAGTTTACCCGAGATGTAAGAGCGCTGCCCGTTCCCCACCCTGGCCGTGCGCAACGTCCTGTGCCTGAGGGTGCAGGTGGGGGGGCATCTCGGGTGGTGCAGGTGGAGAATGGGGACCGGCCCTGGCATTTTTTCCCCCTCAGTTTCCCAGAGGCAGTTGTCAGTGCAGAACCTCAGGGTCAGGAGAGGCTCACTTCATGCACTGAGGCAGCTGGGGTCCCCTTGTCCAGCTGGGGCTCTGAGATCGGCGCGGCCAGAAATCCTGGCAGTCCTGACTGCACAGCGCCTGTGGCAGGGCAGCGCGGCCGACCCCGCCTCCCGCCCCGCCCCGCGCAGCAGCTCCCTTGCCTCCCCAAGTCTGTCCTTGCCGCACACTGCCATACTCATTTTGCTAGAACTAGGCCATTCAACAACAAATACGCAAAAACCTACTGTGTGCTAGGACTGGGGTTGAGTAGTGAGCAAAGTAGACCGTGTGTTCACAGTTGAGACAATCCCAGAGACAGTTAATTACAAAACTGGTAAGTGCTATGAAAGAAACATGTATATGATGGGAGTCAGGTCTTGTCTGTAGATCGGAGGGGGCTGGGGGGCTTCCAGGAAGAGGCAGCATGTAAGCTGAGATCAGAAAGAAGCACAGGAGTACGGAGGGCAGGCTGCATTCCAGGGGCAGGTGCTGAGAATGGAGAGAGGCGGCCTGTTCCAGGGTCTCTGAAGAGATGTGTGAAGGTGTACAATGAGCCCAGAGGTGTGAGAACCCAGCTGGGGCAAGGACTTGGTTTCCGTCACACTGAGAGCCATGGGGAGTCAGCAATGGGTTCTGAGCAGGACGGTGACGTGTCAGGTCAGTATTTTTGAAATGATCGCCCTGGCACCTGGTAGAGGTCTGGAGGAAGCACAGTGAGGAGCGGTCTGTGTGAGAGGGTGATGGGAGTGGCCTGACTCCGCAGGGATGTACAGTTAATGCTGCCCGAACTTGGTAATGGACTCGGTACGAAGGTGAAGGAGAGAGGAGCCATGGCAGTGCCTGATTCTAGTGGGATGGCTGTGGGAGGGCAGGGGCACCATCCGCACGAAGGGAATCGTAAGTTCTGTCCAGGACATGCTGAGTTTTGAGCGTGCCTTTGAAACTGTCAAGAGGTGATGAGTAAGTTAGAATCTGGGGGCTGGACAGGGCAATGTGAGTTTTCAGCACCCTGGAGCATGCCGAGGAGGAGGTCACTTTCAGGAGGGGTGCAGAAGCGGGCAGAAAGGAGAGGGCCCGGCACCAAGCCTGGGGATGCTCCTAACAGTCAACGGTCAAGGAAAGGAGGCTGCCCCAGGCCAGGTGTAAAGGAGTCAGGAGAGCTCCTCCTCCTCACAGGGGCCAAGGGAAGTCTGGGAGGAAGGGTCAGCAGGTCCCCACTTCCCAGAAGATGCAGGAGAAGGAGACTGAGTGCCCCCTGGAGGTTGCTGGTTACTGCAGCAAGATCTGAGTTGGGTGGAGGCAGGTTCTAGATCACAATGGCTGGTGGAGGGTGAAGGCCATGGGAGAAGGCTGACAATCTTAAGAAGTTTAGCTATAGTGGAGAGAATGAGAAGTACAGGATTTTGGAGACAGCAGAGGCTTGAGCAAATGTGACTGCCAAAGGGAAGGACGTTTACTTTCAAGTCTTGCATACTGACAGGAAGGCAGAAAATAGAGGGCGGGAGGTAGTGATGGAAAGGGGAACCTTAGAGCAAGGAAGGGTGAGCAGGAAGGGGCCTGCCGGCCTGCGAGGGAAGGAGGGCTTTCCTGGAGAGGTCACGCAGCTGGCGCAGCTGGGGGGAGCGCTGCTTCGCTGAGGGCAGGGGTTGGGGGCACTTTGACCATAGGCTCTCACTAGCTGCTCCAGCCCGGCTTGGTTCAGGAACAGGCAACGGTGTCTGTGTCCACGGGTCCTGGGAGGGGCCAGGCAGGCATCATAACACAACTGGACCCTGTGTGACAATTGGGAGTGAGACAGGGTCCGGCTGATGGGACCCTGTGGGGATGCGGGCCCAGGTAGCCCAGGTGCTCCCACTCTCTCCACCTGGTGTCATGCGAGCTTCCTTCCTTACTCCCCCTTTCTCTCACTTGGTGTATAGTTCTTTGTTTTCCCCTTATCATCCTTCCCTTCTGCTCTGTGCCAGCCACTGGCTCTTAATAGGTGAGCAAGACAAAAGTCTCACCCTGCAGGAGCTCATGGATTGGTGGGGACCCAACTCAAGACTCAGCTTAGTGACCAGAATCTGGTGGGGGTTGCCTGCGACCCACCCCAAGTCCGTGAGGTAGAGGAGATGGGAGGTGCGGGGCAGCTTCTTGGACACTTGGAGGACAAGCAGGAACAGGAAGCAAGAGCATTCTGGCCAAGACGATGAGGTGCTGAAGGGTACACGAAACAGGCACCAGGGGGGTGTTTTGGAGCAAGCAAAGCTGAAGGGAAGGCAGGGCCGAGACCCCACAGCTGTTTAATTTTATGTAGAGATGACCAGGAGCAATGAAAGGGCTTAAGACAGAGGAGTGACTGCTCAGATCTGCATTTTAGAAAGATCCTCTGACTGCAGTCTGGCCTTGGGGGCAACAGTTGTGTATCGAGTGGAGACAGGGAGGTGGCGGGGAGGCTACAGTCACCCAGGAAGGTGGTTGATGGTGTCCTGGGCTGGGAAGCCAGTGGGAGGTGGAGAGCAAGATGAACACACCTGGTATGTTACTGACCTGAGCCTTCACCGTTTGCCAGGCCCTGTTCTAAGCACCAGAGACAGGTAGGTGTATTACCTCATGTAACCCTGCAAACAACTCTTGGAGATATACCCTATTATTATCTCCATTTTACAAGGAAGGAACTGAGGCTTGGAGAAGCTTGGGGACCATATAACAGGAGAGGGCGAGAACAGAGTGAAGGGTGTGCTGATGGCTGACGACAGGAGGACGCAGAAGGGATTCGGGGGGTTCCAGTCTCTGGCTCCATAAGGTGAGAGTGCCACCCACAAATCCCCGGCTATGGAAGAGGATGGGCTAGGGATTGGAGGAGTTGGGTTTCAACATGTCATCCGGGGGCCTATGTGACATCCAAGCAGAGCCGTGGCCTGCAGAGTTGGACATTCATTCAGGCATGAGGCTCTGCAGAGAAGATGGGCTACAAGTAGAGATTTGAGGGTCATGGCGCAGCAGTGGTGCTTGAAGCCATGGGCACAGACAAGGTCGGCCAGGGAGCACGGGGTGAGTGAGGAGAGACGCCCCAGTGGAAGGGCTGCTGAGGCAGAGTGGTGGCAAAGGGGCCCCAGGCTGCCTGGGGGGCCTGGGGTGGGAGTAGGGGGGAGTCCCAGAACATGGGGCAGGAGTTGGGGCAGGGGTGGGGAATGGCTCTCCATAGCATTTCACACTGCAGAGACTGGGTTAAAGAAGTATCCACTGGGCACAGAGAGCAAGGGACACTGCCAGGCCTTGCTCGAGAAGTTTTCACCCAGTGGGTGGGCTGGAGGGTGGCAGAGGAAGGAGCTGGGAAGGTCAAGGGGGGAGGTGGAGAAGCAGGGCCCAGGGTGAGGCCCGTCTCAGTGCAGGACAAAGTGGGTAGAGGTGACTGAGTGCTTACTGTTGATAAATGAAGTTTTTCTTTTAGCATGTCCTAAAATTTTCCACTTACAGCCTTGATTTTAATTAATTTGCAGAGCTTCAGTAACTGAATCCTACTGGGAACTTACACAGCACAGTAAATTTCAGCTACCTAGAATTCTTGGCAAATGAGCCACTCCGGAAAACCAACATTTACTTGGATGAAAACACTTGAAATAGAGGATTAGTTACTTTGTAAAAATGTGTTTTTTATGAAAATTATCAAACATATAAAAGTAGAGGGAAGACTATAATAAACCCATCATCCAACCTGAACAGTTACCAATTCGAGGCCACATGCTGTGCTGCGCTCTCCGCACACCCCATGCTCTGGGGTACTTGGAAGCAGATCCCAACTATTATATCAATTTCTCCAGAAGACTTTAGTACGTTTCTCCAAAAGACAAAAGATGTTTAAAAATGTAAACACAATACTGTTATTATCCCCCCAAATTTTAATAATTCCTTAATTCAATCAAATATTCATTGCTCAAATTCCCCCAGTTGTCTCATTTTTCCCCAGGTGGCTGGTTAAAATTAGGCTTCAAACAAGGTTCACACACTGCATTTGTTTGCTCTGTGTCTTTCTATTTTTCATGGCGTTTATTTGTTGAGGAAACCAGGCTACTTGGAGGCATGAGCCTGTGGGAATCTGGCAGAGAGCTGAGCATGACAGTGGAGAGAGCAGGGCAGGGAAGGGCGGGGTGGGTGCTGGCCACTCAGTCAGGACATCCACCTGCATGACCAAGGCAACAGGTACCGCGCGGAGGCCCGTCTCGAGCCAGGAGGAGAGCCCAAGGCTACTGAAAGGTGGGTTTGTCTCTGGTCCCTGAGGTCCCTCAGCTGGGGGAGCTAAGGGAAAGTGGAAACATGGCCTGAACTGAGGAGCAGGGGCAGAGCTCAGACTGGCCAAGGGTCAGAGGCTGCTCCCTGGCAGACTGGAAGTGAGGGAGGGCCAGGGCCCGATGTCTGTGCAGTGGGGAGGGTGAGTGCAGTGCCAAACACCAGCTCCTAGTCAGCACCCAGCTCCTTCCTGCCTGGCCCATCGCTGGAGGCCCTCCTTGGCCTCCCGGCTAGGGATCCACCCTGGGCCCAGACAACAGATCTTCTTACAATACTCTTGGTCAGTAGCCCTGATCCCTTGCTCTGCCTTCTCCTTCTCTTGCTCCTGGCCCCCCACAGCCCTGAGGGGGACTGCCCTCCTCAGCTTCAAAGGACGAAGGCTGGCATTGCCTGGATCTGAAATACTATCCTGGAGCCATAATGGAGGTTGAGGGTGGGGTGGGGACCAGCCATGTTCAGGGTTCCTCCACGTGCCAGTGTGTTTGACTGCCCGGGCTGGCTACGACCAGTGAGAAATGGGCCTGCTAGTACCAGCCTCTGCCCAAGACGGGTTCAGAGCTGGGGCAGGCAGTGCCAGGGGTCCAGAACCCCTCCCAAGCTTGTCTTCTCTTCCACCCACCACAGCACATCTCTATCCACCAGCCTTGGCTTCTCTTCTCTGCCTTTTTCCTTCTCTGCCCTAGCGTTTTTCTTATCTACTCCTTCTGCCTCTCCATGGGGGACCTCCCATGCCACCTACCCCGTATCTTAGACTCAGGAACACACATTTACACGCTGAGTCCCAGACACAGAGACACAAGGCACCTTGGGCCAGCACAAACCTCCAGCCTCCTGGTTCTACACCACTGAGCCTATGACTGTCCATGAGAACCAGGGTGCTGCCTGAGTGGAGCACCCTCATGGCCAGTTCTTCTGCCAGAGGGACACCAGCTCTGCAGGCTTGGGAGTGTCTTAGCCCACAGGTCTGTGTTCAGGGCCTTCCAAACCCAGACTTACTGAGAGTCTGTCTTCCAGTAAGAAGAAGAACGACTAATCTTGTTCAAAAAGATTTTTGAGGACTTACAAGGACCTATGCAGTGGAAAGGAGCTTAAAGTAGGAAATGAGTAAGAAGAATGAGGCTTGCCCTAGCAGGTGTGGCTCAGTGGGTTGAGTGTCATCCTGCAAACCCTAAAGGTCACCTGTTCGATTCCCAGTCAGGGCAAATGCCTGGGTTGTGGGCCTGACCTCATGTTGAGGTGCATGTGAGAGGCAACCAACGGATGTTTCTCTCTCTCTCTCCCTCCCTTCCTCCCTCTATAAAAATAAATAAAATATTTTTTAAAATAAAAAGTAGAAGAATGAGGCTTAGGGTTGGGGTTGAGGCATAAAATGAGACCAGGAGCCCTGGCTGGGTAGCTCAGTGGATTAGAACATCGTCCTGATGAGCCAAGGTTGCAGGTTCAACCCCTGGTCAGGGCACATACAAGAATCAACCAATGAGTATGTGCAGCAATAAATCAATGTTTTCCTCTCCCCCTTCCCCTCTCTAAAATCAATTTAAAAAAATTAAGTGAGTCCAGGAACATGGTATGTTGCCAAAACATAGGTCTGCCCACACTTCAGAGCTGGGCCATGGATCTGATTCAGAGCCTCCTAGACGGCAAAGCAAAGAGAAAAAGCAGGTCCACTGTGTATTTCTGTGTCTATGAGATGTTAAATTCTGGAAAACGGCACCACTATTCCTGACTGGGACCAGAACAGATATCCCTTTAAGATGACAGGCCCTATCTCAAGGCCCAATCCTGCTCACAGAGGCACGAGGAGGTAAACAAAGGAGGGCCTGTTTCTCACAGGGCCAAGCCAGGCTCTGCCTCTAGGCCAGGATGGCGGGGCCTGTGCCACACTCACTGTTATGGGCCTTAGCAAGTCTGGGATGTCACAGACCCTGTGGGGGAGCAGATCACCCAGTGTATGCTCATTGTCCGTTCATTCGTTCATTGATCTTTTTGTTGGACTCCTTCCCCTATGTCCCTCTGAGCCCAGCTCTGAGACAGGGGACTGCACCGGGCTCAAAGGTGCTCACAGTCTGGGGCAAGGTCCCATGAAGAATCTACATGAGGCTGAAGGCATATGTGTAGTAGACAGTGGACAATCCTTGCCTCTTGCTAGTCACTTCAGAGGCAGTGGTGGCTTCCAAGGGGCCCCCAGGACTTCTGGCCTTGCAGCCTCTGAGTCTCCCCACCTCCAACCCTGGCCTTTGCTGAGTGAACAGGCTGAAATAGCAGTCTCTGGAAAGTCCTGGCTGGGACTGGGCCCTGGGCCCTTACACCCCCCACCAGGAAGGTTCCCCCACCCGCCCAACCCCAGCCTCGTCAGAGCGCCCTGGAGTCCCCATGTGGCTATTCTCTCAAAGGGCTCTCCGGTGTTCTATGGTCTCAGGCATGTCCTTTTCCCTCATAGGGCCTCAGGTTCCTCATCTGAGAAACAGAAAGGGTTGGGCACAAAGCTCTCTCCTGGTGGAAGCAGCTCAGACTTTGGAGTTAGATGGAGCTGAGTTCCAATCCACTTATTTACTTACACTTTTCTGAGCCCCAGTTTCCTCATCTATAAAATGGGGTCTGTTAAAAACAGACTGCACGGACTTGTGGCGAGGCTCCAATAAGGATGCAGGCACAGTGCTCTGCATGGGTCGCATGTACTTCCATCCCGTGCCAGGCTCCAATGCCCTCTTCTCCAGCGGATTCCTTCCTGTGTCTGACCAGCCAGTCTGGTATTTAATGGAAGGCTTTTCTGGTACCTGCTTCCTCCTCCCAGAGCCCAGCCAGGCAAGTGAGAGAGAATAATGGGGAGGAGGAGGAGGGGAAGATGGGACCCAGGCTCTGAGTTGCCCCGGTCCACAGACAACATGCCAGGCCTGGAGGAAGTGCTGGCCCCATCCATGTGGAACTGAAGTGGCACAGTGTGGAGCTCCTGTCCTCTTCTCTGGCTCCTGTCCTCTTCTCTGGCTGGGAGGCGGACATGCAGATGAGAGTGGCCAGGCTGGGGCACCAGGGAACCCAGGGCCTGGTGAGTGGCTCCTACCAAGGCCCGGCAGAGGGGTGGGTCAGCGGGGGGACAAGCCCAGGGACCCACTGTCCCACAGGGTAGTTGAGCAGCTGGGCCCCATAGGCCGTGTGGTACCCCCGGGGCAGGGGCCCAGTTGGCTCTGTCCTAGAGGGTTCTGCCTGGAGGGATGGTATCAGGATCCCCTTCGACTCGTCAAACCAGAATATCCAGCTGAGTAGTGGTCTCCTGCCTCCTCCTTGCCCACACCCGCACCCGCACCCTCCCCTTTGTGCCTGAAGCTCAGGCTCCTTGTCGGCTCCCATGGAGACAGCCCTACCATCCATGTGCCAGCCAGTGAAGAGCACAGCCGTCTGAGCTGCTTTGGGAAGCACCTTGGCCTCCCCCCGACTCCTGCACCGCATCCACACTGCCCACTTGTGCCCCAGCCCCAGCCCTGACAAGGAGCCCACGCCCCATAGGGCTGTGCCCTCCCTGCTCATCAGACATAGTGCCTCCCTGGGATTCCTCCCACTCAGTCGCAGCTGTGCCTCCTCGGGGAGCCACCCCAGGGAGTCTCCAGCAGCCGCAGATCAGTGGAGGTAGTGAAACGATGCAGGTGAGGCTTGTGCTCAGCGCTTTCATTCACATCGCTGTTTCATGCCCAACACTCTTGAGAGTGGGGAATATCAGTTCCCAATTACAGGTGAAGAAGGTATTGAATTCCAGAGAGGTTAAGTGACTTGCCCGAGGTTCCACAGCTCTGTACCTACCAGAGATTTGGGGCCAGGATTGCCTGTGGAGGGTCCACACCCATCCCCCAGCCAGCTCCCACGCCCTTCCCACTCTCCAGAGGACGGGCCTACCCCTCCCTCCCCACCTACTGCGTCCTTAGTAGCTGGGCCCGTTCCCCAGTGTCTCTCGCAAACATCCTTTAGCTCATCACAATTAGGATAATTGCTGACATTTATGGAGCGGAGCTTACTGTATGCCAGGCGCAATGCCAAGCACTCCATATTCATTGTCTTAGTTAATCTTTGGCACAATGTTATGAGGTAGTTTCAATAATTATCCTCATTTTGAAGATGAAGAAGTGGGAGTTTAGGAAGGTGAGGTCACAGCTTCAAGGCGCACGCAGGCGGCTGCTCTGCTCAGAGCTGGCTTCTCCCTGCTCTGTGCCAACTGCCTCTGGTCTGAAGGGGGCAGTGACAGGCACTCTGTCACGAGCAGTGTCTGTGTGCTTAGAGAAACACAGGAACTCTCAGGTTCGAACCACACCCTTCCCCTAATTCCCCAGAGCCCGCTGCGCAGCCCTGCAAGGCAGGTCATATTGTCCTCATCCACTAGGATTCATCTCATGTTGTCTGTCCTGAGTTGGTCCTGCTACAGCCCAAGCTTGGCAGAGGGACGGGAAAGAGACATCCTACCCAGAGACACAGGGGAACTTGGAGTTCAAGGAACAGGGAAGGAGAGAAGACGAGCAGGAAGAGGTGGTAGCCCTGCGGGATTCAAGGCAAAACCCCACTTTGGGTCCAGCCTCGGTCCCCCTTAGGAAGAGTCAGAGAAAAACCCTTGGCCTCTTCTGGAAACTCCAAGTGCTGGCACTCTGCCAGGCAGACGTGCTCTCCTGCCCCTCTCTTCTGCCAAGGGAGCAGACTCTATAGCAAGGGAGATTCAAGCCAAACCCCAGGGACATGGCCCACAGCAGGTCATCCAGTTGGGGGGAAGTGGCACTGGAGGCCTGGGCAGAACTGCCTCTGGGACCACCCCACTCTCCAGGCCTCGGGTCATTGTGGCCCTGCTGGACTCCAAGTCTCCACAGAGATGGAGCCAGCCGGGTGCCGGGGCCCTTGTTACCAGGACTTCCGGAACTGGCTTCAGAGCATAGATCACCTACTGGGAGCAAAGTCTGCCCACGAGCAAGCCCTACTCACACACAGCTGCTTTTGTTTTTGCAGGGCATATGAGTGAGCAGGGTGTGCAGATTACAGAGCTCAGAGCTACATAGATCCTGTGTGGTCTGTCACCCATGGCCTCAGCAGACTCATGCCTGTGACACCATGCAGTGTCCCTGGAACATATGAGCAACACATACATGAGATCTTCCTCCCTACACAGAATCCTAAGTGGCCCAGAGAACATGCCTGTGAGGGCCAGCATGAGACCAGGATGCAAACCTCTCCCTGCCATTCTGACATCCTGCCCCACTTTAGGGCCAGGGGAGCCTGAGACTCACAGTTGGGGACAATTTCCCCAGCTGGGGGCGGGAGAGAGGAGGGGGCTCCATCTGCAAGGTGCTCACTCCCTCCATGCCCCTCAGGTGTCCCTCCCAGAGACCTGGATTTGGTCTGCATCAACGTGTGGCCCCCGTTTTGGTCCCCTGGAAGTTTCTTTGAGATCTCCGCAGCCACCAGAACCCTGGCAGGTGAGGGCCTTGTGAACAGGTAAGAGCAGAGGAACAGTGCCTGATGAGTCATCCGGAGCACACACACCTTCTCAGGAGCACTGGGTGTGGGGCTGGCCATTTCCTCAGTGCGCCACCCAGGCAAGTCACAAGTCCTCTCCTGTCTGCTCAAAGAGTTGTCGAAATTCTCAAATAGGATGGAACACGACCAGCTTTTATTCCAGTGTTAGCCCCTTAAGGGCCCCTAGCTGGGAGCTGTGGATCAGGTGGAAGAGGGACAGTGACAAGGGACGTGTGGGGAAATGGCGCAAAGGAGTAATGGAGAGTCCATGGAGGGACCAACGGTTGGTGCAGGCAGACAGCGGGAGTTCGTGAATGCCAAGACTTTGGTCTTCAGACTCTGGGCACTGGGGAGTCAAGGAAGGTTTCTGAGGAGAGCCTGCTGCCCAGTCCTACAAGGCATGACATGGTTAGAGCCATGCTCAAGAGATGACCACGACGTGGTCGCTCCTGTCAGTAGCGCCCTGGCAGTGCAAAGGTGTTGCTCCGTCTGCCCCTGTGCCTCTAGCTCAAGGTTGTCCGATTTTCCTGTTCACTGGAGGCCCACTGCTGGCTAGGGCAGGGGCAGCTCTCGCAGCCCACCGATCTGCTTGTCTGACCCTCACACCTTTCTTACTTTCTTGAAGTAAGTATGATAAGGGTCAAAGCCGCCTAAGGCCAAGCGGGTCTCTTGCCTGTCTGAAGTACAGCGGAATCTAGGGGGCGAGGGCTGAGTGAGTGGGCTGCTTGGGAGGCAGGTCTTCGCTTCCCTTCTCTAGCCCCCTTTCCAAATGACCGTGGTGTCTTGTCCTCTCTGACCTTCAGTTCGAGTGAGCCAGGTCCAGAGGTAGTGTCACCCCTGGGCCAGCCTTGGGGGAGGGCTCGGGGAGAGGGAGCCCAGGGGCCCCTTCCCTCCCATACGCCATCGGACCTGCCATTCCAACCATTATCTCTACCTGCTCTTCAAGATTTGCCAGGCCTTGTGCTGGGCAGTGCTGGGGGCAAAGGTGACCCAAAGCCAGGCCTTGTCCTCAAGGACCTTCCAGGCTGGCTGGAGGCTGGCACAGAGAAGAGGTCCTAGCCGGCCAGGGAGCAGGGAAGTCCGCCTGCAGGAAACGAGCGTGACGGAGCAGTCAGCTGCGCACAGGAGTGGTGTAGAGGAAGGTCTGCGGCCTGAGAGAGCCGCGCGGCTCAGAGGCCCAGGCACTGCAGGGCCTACCGCTGAGCTGAGAGAGAACCAAGGCTCTTCCCTGGCTGAGGTGAACTTGTGGTCAGGGAAGGGGACTGGTGTGTGGGAAGCCCTGCGAGAAGGCTCCCCTCGTTCCCAGACCTCCCATAGGTTTCAGGCCCAAGTGTTTGTCTTTCTCCTCCAGGCTCCACAGCAGCCCTTCCTGTAGATGAAGCAGCTCTGCCTGGTGAGGCAGCTGGAAGGGCTACAGGTGAGGCTGGCCCTGGGTACCAGGGAAGACATGATTCCAAAGCTGAGCTCCAAAGAGGGTAGGGACCCAGGGAGCAGGCAGGTGGGGCAGGGGCCAATTTGAGTATCATAGGATCTTCTCTTTCAAACCAGCAGTCCTTTAACCAATGGGGAGGTGGAGGCTATATCTAAGCAGTCGCTGGGGCTTAGGTGCTCTCTCTTATCCCCACCCCGCCACCCAGACACATTTTTCCAGGGGGGAGTCTTGGCGGCAGAAGTCATGTCTTTCTGCTCCCCCCTCTCCAAGAAACCCCCAGGAGATAGGATCCATCGTGTCACCCCAGCTAGCCGACTGTCGCAGCCCTGCACCAGCCCCCAGGGGAAAGAATTTTTGACCTGGATGAGGCATTAAACAGACACAACCAGATCCGGCAGGGTCTCTCTGAGCAGTTGGCCCAGGCAACTGGAAGAGCAGCTGGGGACCCCAGGCAAGGCCGGGCCTGAGGGAGCCTGGGTGAGCGGCCCCGGGAACACCCTTGCAGTCTGGAGAAGCTGAGCTCCCTACGCACTGGATCCCGGGCACCCGTGGGCTCCCTGTGTCCAGAAAGAGCAAGCACTGTACTTGGGAACTACTGTCCCCTAAAGTCTGGAGGGAAAGAAGGACAAGGGTGAAATGCTGCAGGTCACAGCGCCGGGTGGGGGGATTGTGCAGGAGGGTAGCTCTGCACAAGCAAATGCCCAAGGAGCCTCACAGCTGGGCCTGGAAAGAAGAGATGCCAGGGATTTTGACATGGGTCTGTAGACAAGTGATAAAAATAGACTGAACGCCAATTTGCATGTAGCTCCACACGTGACTTGATTCACGCACGGCTTGCTTAAGGCTCAGCTGCACCAGAGTCCTCGTTCCATCTCCTCCATGGCCATCTGGCCTCTCCCTAGGGAATCAGGCCCTGTGGCAGGGCCAGCCTGGGGTCTGGGAGTGGGACTCAGCCAAGATGTTCGATACTGAGCAGAAGGGGCCAGCGACTCCTGTGTTTTTTGCTGAGCTCTGGTAGCTCGAAGTGTGAATCTTATGTCCTCAGGCCAGAGCAGCTGAGGCTGGGCTACAGGAGTGGGGAAGGGGGGTGCGCCACACTCCAAGGCTAGGTCTCCCCAATCCTACTTCCAGGCCCAGGATCCTTCCTGCCAGGTTCTATTCACTTCAAAGAGGCCACCTCTCCAGACTGCTCAGCAAGGCAGGGGCCCAAGCACTGGGAGCTGACTGGTACTGGCCGCAGCTTGGACTGTGCCCTGGGGGAAGCGGGGAGGAAAGGACTGAATGGGGCCTCTGCCTCCTGCAGGGGCAGAACCACTTCTGGAAAGTGGAGGGGTTCTCAGAAGCCCCAGCAGTGGCCACTGTCTTTGGGGACAGGGACCACCCTCAGGGAGAGGAGTTGGAGAGGAGGGGGAATCCAAAAGCCGAAATGGGCAGGGGTCAGATAAACTCAATGTGTCCATAATGAGGGGGCCCAGGAGTCCGGTAAGGCCTCTAGAAGGGAGAGGAGTGCAGTGCCATGGGAAGGTGGACTCTGACAACAGAGGGGCTGTACCCCGGGCCCTAGAGAAGAGGCTTGCTTTTCTGCGGGACTCTGCCAAGGTCAGCACCCTGGGCTGTGGACAGTGGACTTGCCCCAACACCTGCAAGAGATGAGGTGAGGGCACAGGGCTGGGAGGGGTCATGAGGGCGGCGGGAAGAGAGGCCCCACTCCACCATTTGCTTCTCTGCCCGAGGTTCATCCATGAGCCCGTGATTCCTTCTGTCCTTTCCAGAGCACCCAGCCCAAAGCCCATCACATAGGGAGGAGCTGGGGGCAGAGTTAGGTTTATTGAGTTGACCTGAACTTAATGGAATCAACTTTAAAGTTCTGAACGTCCTAGTTTAAAAGCATGAGAGGGCCCCCACTTGACATTCCCACTCCAGAGAGGGTTAGCAAATCTGAGCTCCTGGCAGGAGGGGACATTTTGATGGGGTTCTTGGAAGGAGCACAACAAAGACCCAGTCATGGTAGGGTGTCCCTGACTTCCTTTTGCCCCCTCCAGTCTCCCAGCCTCCCAATCTAGGACAGGTGTCTGGAGCTACCCATAGAGCCCTGGGGGCAGGGGGTCACTTTGATGCCAGGAAGGAGGGAAGCTTCCGGCTGAATGCTGTGGCTGCAGCCCAGCTCCTATCCCCACATCTTGCCTGGGAGTGGGAAGATGGGATGAGGGGGAAGAGTTAAATCCCCTGGGAGCAGGGGGTGAAGGGCAGGGCCCCGGGAGCCTGAGGTTGAGACAGGAATCTTCAGGGAGATCTTTCTCTGAGCTGAAGCTGTCTCAGGATTCAGGAAGAAGGTTTGGGGTAAGAACGGTCCCCAAGAAGGGGCCCTATGGATGGCACCTGTTCCCCACCCAGTTGCTGCCTCTGGGAATTATGAGAAATGGTTAGGCAGTTTGGGTGCAAAGGAAGGAGGAAGGAGTCCTCTCCCTTGGTTTCCACTCCCCACCAGGGATGCAGCAACTCACATGGCTTCAAGAACCCAGGTCTTCTATGCATCCGTGGGCATCAAGCATCTTTTCTTAGAGCTGGCTCAGACCTGAGCCTCCTGTAGAAGGACCTCCGGGACCCAATGGTAAGGGGGAAGGAAGGGGCACCCATGGGGGTTCCACCCTGAGACCTGGGCTCAGCCCCTTTTTCTAATGCTTCTGCAGCCCCAGGCCCTCCTATCGTAGACCGCCTCTCTTGGGACCCCTGGAAGGCACACCTGTGTCTGTATCTGTGTGTGCGTGCACACGTGCACTCAGGGACACAATTCATCTTCTCTCTGCCTTCTCTGCTCTCTGGAGAATCCCACAGACTCAGTGCCAGCAAGGCCCTGGAGACCACTTGGTAAACTCCTTCAACAACTAGAAGAGAAATGGGAGTAGGCTGTGCCCAGGGTCACTCAGAGCAGCCTGCTCTTCCCCATACCCCTGCCTCATCTTGTTCTTTTTCTGGCTTTTACCACTACCCTGTCTCTTGCTCTCTATTTCTTTATCTCATCTCAAGAAACTTTGGGCCCCTGAGGATCCCGGGCCCCAGGGCCTCCCAGCTGTCCCCAAAGATGGGAACATGGAAGCTGAGGTAGGGGAAGCAGCTTTGTTCTCTGCCCTCTCTCTGGGTGCCCTGGATGAAAACCGGAGCACCCCAAAGCCTGAGATAGGAAAGCAGAGCCCACAATGGCCCAGATTCCAGGTCCTTTCCCTCCTTCTGAGTAAGAAGCTGATCCAGGACCTTAGAAGTTTCCTTTTCAGAAAGCAGCAGCCAAGGACCCCTACCCACCTGGCCAGCCCCCAGGGGCTTCCTTGTGCCTGCAGCCCAGCATCTTCCTGTTCTTCCTCCTTATCTAGACTGTAGGTTTCTTCTACTATGCACACAGTCCAAGTAGGCCTTCCCATAGGCAGCGCTTTCCATACCTACCTGGCTTGGTTCTGGGGCACAGTCATTTGATTTGTGAGGGGAAGCAGTAAGGCCCAGGTCCACCTGCCTGGCCTACCAGCTGGCAACGAGCAGTGCCCATTTGCTCAGTAATCACTACTAACCATGTGCTCAGCCACTGACCCCATCTGGATCCTGCCCTCACAGAAATCACTCTCTAGCGTGAGAAACTGACAAGTACATGCTAGTCATATCCTATGCGGTCAGAGCCATGATGGCAGGGGCTGTAACAGTACAAGAAAAAACACTTGACTCAGCTTGGAGAGATCAGGGAATCAACCTCGAAGGAACACTTGATATGGGTCATCGAGGCAAGTAGTTTTCCAACCTAGGTAAAGGCATGAATACCGAGGAAACAGCATGAGACAGGGCATGGAAAGATGAAAGAAACACAGTATTTTGGAGAAAAAATAGCAAGAGTAAAGAGTGGGATCAGTTTGTGAAAATGGGCAAAGAGAATCACAAAGATTGGGAGGAGGTCACTGTTTCTGCTTGGTGGACATTTGTTAAGCAAATGAAACATTTAGAGATGTAGGGTGTGCGGAAGAGCTCAGAAATGAGATGGACAGTTCTTGTTGATGGAATTTCAAAACAAGAATAATCAGTGTACGCAAGTGTGGTCCTGGAGGAGCAGGGAAGTGTGCTGAGCTTTCAAAGCAGTTGAAGAGGGGATGGCAGCCAAGGTATGAGGTGGAATGATGATGGGTTTATGTGTTACATGGTAACATATAAGGCTGGAGCTACCTGGACAGACCTTGAATGCCAGGGGGAAAGTGTGGTCCTGATAGGACAGGCCAAAGGGGCTATGGAAGGTTCCAGAGCAGCGGATGCTGTGGTGCAGTGAGTGTAGTAAGTGTAGTGAGCCTGTTCTCAAAAGCCCAGAAGGGAGAGGCCCGAGTAATCTTCTTCTCTCCCTAGGAGCAAGGTGGACCTGGACAAGAGCCTTCAGGGCTGTCTGCACGCAGGCAGCCTTCCCCTTAGTCCTACCCATGCATCCTTAGGGCCTGGTGGTTCTGAGAAGGCAGCCCCTTCCCCCAGCATGCGTGCATGACCCACCTCAAAGCCCTGAAGGAGTGCCCACTTCTCATCCCTGGGAAGTGGGTGGTGTCTGGAGGCTGGAGGGAGAGGCCACCTCCCTCTGGGTGCCCAGCTTCTACTCACACCTCAGCTTTTGGGGAAGCTGCAACCTTATTAAAGGTGATTTCTCTCTCCCCATGCTTTGATACCCTCATCCACCTTCCAGGTTTTCCTTCATCTGAAGGCTTCTGTCTCCTCTGGAGAGGTAACTGGGAGTCAGCTTCAAGCACGCAAAGAGGCCAAGGGCTGGCTTGACCACAAAAAGACTGGATGCCCTACAGACCTTGAGCCCTGGACAACTGTCCCCACATTCATCAGAACAACAAGAGGCATCGCCAGGTGCCTTTCATGGGTCACCCCAACCTGCATCACCATGGACAACTCTCTCTCCCAACTCCCTTCCGCTCCAGGGGTCATAGGGGCAAGCATGTGATGGAGAACTCTGTGAGGCAACCCATGGAGCCATAATTGGTATTCCCGGTCCTCGGCTCTCTCCACCTTTCCGGGATTGAAGCTCTCCAAGAAGCTGCTGGGGCAGCAGGTTGAGGGGAAGGACGGGGTAGGGCCCAGGCCTGGATTTTTGCCCCTCACTGCTACTCTCTGGGCAGAGTAGGGAGCAGGGTTACCCGGGACACACATCAGCACAGCCCACTCACTCCCCTGGGAGCAACCCCACCTCCCAAGGCCCTAATTCATGGCCAGCGGCCCGGGGCAGAGCTGGGCGTTGGAGGCGGCAAGTGGGAGAGGCGGGAGCACCGAGCAGGCACGTGGTCCCGCCACCTCAGCCCCGTGCCCGCCCCGCGTCCGCCCTGCGCCCTGTGCGGAGGGGTTCGCTAGATGGGGGCGGGGCCGGGGGTGGAGAGGGAGCCGCGGCGGCGGGAGCTGTCCGTGCGCCCTAGTGCTGAAGTGGGCGCGGACGTGCCTGGCGCCCGGTTCCGGGGCAGCGAAGACCATGGCGTTCATGGTGAAGACCATAGTGGGCGGCCAGCTGAAGGACCTCACTGGGAGCCTGGGTGGCGGCGAAGACAAGGGGGACGAGGACAAGTCAGCGGCCCAAGCGCAGGGCATGAGCCGAGAGGAGTATGAGGAGTATCAGGAGCAACTGGTGGAAGAGAAGTGAGTGGGATCCCTTCCCGGCTCCAGGGTCTCTCTTCCCCACTCCACCCCTCAGCCGCCCGGCCCACCCCTAGGGCAGCCTCAGACTCCAGGCCCCTCCTCTACTTCTCTAGACTGGTAAGAGGCTGGGGTGTGCACTTCTAGGCTGCCCTCCCCACCCCCAGCCTCAACATCTCAAGGCCAGGACCCCGCCCCAGCTTTGCATTTGGCCTAAGGAAGTGGGGGCAGGGGCAGAATGGGCCTGGGACCCCGTGGGGGCACGTGCATTTCTGCAGAAACAAGTAATCCTTTAATCCGATCTGGTACCAACATCTGTGTCTTCCAAATGGAGCTCCTGAGGCTCTGAGAAAAGTGGTGCAGCTGAGGGGGGCTCAGAGTCAGGGAGACAGATCCTGAGATGGGGGCATTCAGAGATACTGAGGCCACTTGAATGCGTACAATGCTGGGACAGAGAGGCACCTAGGGTGGAGTTAGGAGCTGGATTCCAAAGCTTCTTGGGTCAGATCCTAGTTTTGCTTCTTTTTAGCTGGGTGATTTTAGGCAAGTTACTTAAACCCTTCTGTACCTTGGTTTCCTGTTTTGTAAAATGGGGATGGTAATTGTAAGACATGCCTTATATTTTTATGAGGATTAAATTACTTAATACAGGTAAACTGCTTAGCACAGCACCTGGCACATTGTAAATCAATAAATGTTAGCTATAATTATTTCACTTAATGTTGATAACAGTTTTGTGAGTTGCAAAATCTTATTCCCATTCTACAAGAGAGGAAGGTAAGTGACTTACCCAAAGACAGACAAAAAGCGGTAATGGAGCCATGCATGAACCCAAGTCTGTTTCAAATGCTCTCCCCCCACACTCCAAACAACCTGTCAGGGAGGGAAGGGGCAGGCTGAGTCTGAGGTCGAGAGGGATCTTTGTTCGGAAGTCAGGCAGACTGATCCTCTCTCCCCATAGCTCTGTCCAGAGGCAGGTGGGGGGACTATAAAGGGCGCCCAGCTGGGGGGACAGAACACAAAGGCCAACAGCATCTGCCAGGTCCCAGCATTCTGCTGACACACAGGCCCACAGGCGCTCCTCCCTTTAGTGCTGGCAATGACTCTGCCCTGGCGCCCCTGTAGGATGGAGCGGGATGCGCAGTTCACACAGAAGAAGGCAGAGCGGGCCACACTACGGAGCCACTTCCGAGACAAATACCGGCTGCCCAAGGTAAGCTTAGGAGCCAGGGCTGGAAGGCATATCTGTTCCCTGAGCCCCGGGCCCCAGACTCCTTTGTTCCACTCTGGGAGTCATGACTCTCAGCTCCTAAGACTGATGGAGACCATTTGTTCTTTCACTCATTCACGATTAACTGGAGCCCACCTATGACTAGGGCTTGGTGAGGAGGGGTAGCCCAGTCCTCTGAAACTGATAGGTTTGTGTTTCTGGAGCCACTCCAGGCCCCTTCTGTCCTCCAATCCACCTTCTCCCAATTTGAGCCAGGCCCAGGCAGATGAAGAGTTGGAAGGCAACGAATTTTTCCAGGGGAGTGAGGGTTCTTGGGGCTTCTGAACACTGGGGGAGGAGAGATGGGGGGAGAAGGCAGCACCCTGTGTGTGCCAGGCACTTGACCTTCCCGTCTTTATCTCCCTAACCCCTCAGTAGTTCTGCTGGATAACTGTCACCTACATCTACAAAGAAGGAAGCTGAGACTCAGATAGACTGATGGACTTGGCTAAGATCATAAAGTCAGTGAGTGATGGAGCTTGAGCTTGTGAATGCTGAGCCTGCTCCAAGACCCCTGGCTGCTTTCCAGGGTACGGGTCTGTCTCTAGAGAGCAAAGTAACTCCTTGGTTGGCTGGGCAGCCAGGAGGATGGCTCCCCTAGGCACTGCTGCACCAGATGGGCTGTAAGTGTTCCATTCCTGTTGCCTAAGGAGAGAACTGGGGCACAAGCCACTCTCAGTGTCCAGAACTACAGTAGACCCTGAGGAGAAACAGAAATACAGTGCTATAGTATGCTGACCTTGATCTTCCACTTGAATTGGAAGATCAGATATGTAAATATCACTCCCACTCATCCAACAAATATTTCCTGAGCCCATGGCTGCCTCTTATTCCCCGCAGGGCACAAGTCTTTTGGAAGCCTCTCAAAGAAAGAACAGGTCCAGAAAGCTTGCCTTTCTGGGAAGTAACCGAGTTAAGCATAGCTAGGAATGGAGTCATTCCTCAAATGTTTGCATTAAGCATGTGAGGGACACAACTCCTGCCATCAGGGAACTCTGAGCCTAGCAGAAGAGGAAGACTTGGCTGTAATTGAGTAGGACATAAAGTGGAAAGCCCAGGGCCCTCAAGGGATAGGAAAGTGCAATGACAAGCAGTAGGCATCTTGCAAAGAGAGCACAAATATTGGGATCAGTGACATAGGTTTAAATCCAGCTCTCCCACTCCAAAGTGGATAACCATGGGCAAGTTACTTACTTAAATTGTTTGAGCCTCAATTTCCTTATTTGTAAAATGGAAAAAGCAATAACTACCTCACAGGGTTGTTGTGAGAATTAAGGGCACTCAGCTCAATGTCAGCCATATAATAGGTGTTTGATGAATGGTATCCATCACTATTATTGGTAATGTCCTCAGTGTAGTTAATGATAATCAATACACAACTGACTGTAACAGTTTGACTCCTAGGTATTTCCATTTTGTCCATACTCACTCTGTTAATATCTCAGAGTGAAGTGAGGTGGTCTGAATGTCAAAAGCTTGATCCTGGGATGTGAGTGGGATCTGAGTTCACAGGAGCATGGGTCTTAGAATCTAGGAGACTGGAACCCAGTCCAGGTGTCCTCCCTAGCCCCTTAGCTTGGGGTCTCCACAGACCTCCAATGCCAGTCCAACTCCCTCTTCTCTTCAGAACGAGACAGATGAGAGCCAGATCCAGATGGCAGGTGGAGATGTGGAGTTGCCCCGAGAGCTGGCCAAGATGATTGAGGAGGACACAGAGGAGGAAGAGAGGGCCTCAGTCCTTGGGCAGCTGGCCAGCCTTCCTGGCTTAGACCTTGGCTCCCTCAAGGACAAGGCCCAGGCCACACTGGGGGATCTCAAGCAATCAGCTGAGAAGTGCTCCATCATGTGACTACTTCCCCTGGGGTTGTTTGACCAGAGAGCTGGAGCCATATGACCTTGAAGAGCATGTCTCCACTTCCGTGGACCCGCACTCCACCTTGGATTTTTTCCCCCTGCACCAGGCTAGCCCGAGGACCCTTCTCTGCCCCAGCCTGCTTTCTGGCTTCTCTCCCTCTCCTCTGGGAGCAAAAGTCCCCACTCCTCCCTCTACCCCATCAGGACCCACCCTCCCTACTCAGCCTGGGGAAGCCTCCCAAGATTGTAGGAATAGGCCATGGACCAAAATTCCTGCACATAGATGCACCGATACAGACACCCAGGGGAGCAGAGACCTTGGTGTGTGTAGAGGTGTACACCATAGATGCATCCAGGCACACGCAGACACATACATAGGCCAGCTCCCTGGTGACGAGCCTCTCTAGACACCAACAGAGGGGCTTAGAGGGGGCTTTAGGCAGGTACCCTCAGCAGACAGGAAGCCTGAGTTTGAATCTCCACATTTATTCTCCTTGAAATCCACTGCTCTTTCCAGGCCTCATTTCATCACCTATAGAATGGGAGTGAACAGGGTGATTTTTAAGATTCCTTCTAACTTGGCCTCCCTGGGCCCTCATAGCCAATCCTATATCCCTCTTTGTGCAGGGCAGCCGCTGCTACTGTGGGCTCTGGCTATTGAGAGTTAAGTGATGCTGTGCAAGGGACCAAGTACCAAGGGTGAAGTTGGCACCAAACAGTAGCCCAATTCGCTCCAGGACTTCTCTGAGCTGAGGGCCCAGGGCCTAGACAATTTCTGTTTTGCTTCTGCAGAACTCTCTCTCTGGATTCCATAGCAAGATTTCCTCTCTCAGCTCAGTAGGTTGGGTGTTGTCCCTGCAAACCAAAAGGTCACCGGTTTGAATCCAGGTCAGGACACACGTCTGAGTTACAGGTTCAGTCCCCGGTCGAGGCACATGCAAGAGACAATGGATTGATGTTTCTCTCCCTCTTCCTCCCTCCCTTCCTCTCTCTCTAAAAGTAAATAAATAAAATCTATGAAAAAAATAAAAATTCCAAATGACTTATCTTCCTACTTCTTACCGATCTCCAAAAGTCTTGGGGTTCACAGCCTCCCCAATCCTGCATTGGAGGGATGTCCTCTACCTCTTCATTACAGCTTCCCAGGAGCACTAGCTCCTATACGATGTTCAAGCTCTACCCTCTGGACAAGGACGGGATCCCCCAGCATTGACCAAGTACTAGGTCCAGCTTCTGGGCTTTAAGGAGATTACAGCATCCAGCTGCATGGGCAGGGCCTCTGGGGCGTTGCTGAGACTTCAGGAGGTGCCACAGCTCAACCACAGCTGTCTCTGGCACCTGTGCCTCTACTGCCTCCTCACCTTGGAGATGGAAGGTGTGACCAAAGAAGGCAGGGCAGCTGCATTCCAGGCCTGGCATTGTTGTGTGATTTTGACAAGGTTGATTTTCCCCTCCGAGCCTGTTTGCTGTACTGTGTAATAAAGAGCCCTGCCTCCTCAAAAACGAACAATACATGTTTCAAAGGGTGACCATTTTAAAGCACTTGGCACATGATAGGCCATGCCCATAAATGGTAACTCATTCTTTTAAAAAACTGAAGAGCCCAAGTCTCATCCAGCTCATCTGTGGAGTGTCCAGGGAACCAGCCAGGAGGGTCTATCCCTGAAGTCTGAGCAGGAACAAGGTATCAACACCACCCCCTACCCCATCCCTGGCACTGGCTTGTGGAGGGGATTTAGAGGCAGAACAACCATCAGAGGGTTTGGTTTCAAGGGCAGTTCCCATTAGGCCTCCTTTGCAAAGCAAGAACAAGGCACATAAAACCTGTGCAGTAGGTCATGTGGGCAGCATCACGTGGAAGAAAGAAGAAAGGATGAGAAATTAGCAGGGTGAGGGCAGGGAAGGACACAGGCCCAGGATTGGGCAGTGCTGTTGTTGCTGTCATGCTGGGTCCTTCTTGAGGATCACCTAGGCTGTCCTTAGGTTTGTCACTGGACAAACCGCCCTGCTGATCTTCCTGGGGCTGGAGCAGACCCAAGTCCAGGCTCTATACGGTGCGTGTGGGAGGAGGGGGCATGGGCCTCCTCACAGTGTCAGCAGAAAGCCCACGTCAGCACTCCCCCCTCCAGAGGCATCCTGCGTAATGGGACTGGACAGACAATTTTACCCTCAAGGATTTACAGGACCAAGAGTGAAAGAGACAGCGAGACTGGGCTGTGGGGAGGCCAGGGCTCACACTCACCGAACCCTCACCGAACAGAATGGCAGGGGTCTGGGGTCAGGGATTGGGAGGAGGCTGAGCACCCCCTCCCCACAGCCTGAGAACCCCAAGAAGCCCTGACCCATCCGCATGTTCTTGGAATTGGAGGAGGAGGCCGTGAGGTAGCAGGAGTCATCTCTGTGCTCTGCAGAAATGGGCAAGGCAAGCAGGCAGAAGGTCCCCAGGCTCTGCAGGCATCGTCCTGCTTCTGCTCTTCCTGCCTTTGCTCGCTGGCTTCTCTGTCAGTTTGTGCCTCTCTCATCCATGACCCTCCACCCTCTGGCCCATGCCTGGCTCACACCCATCCTACACGGATGCCCTCAGCTGGGGGCTACCTGCCCCATTCCCAGGCCCTCAGGGCCTATCTCAGGAGGACTACTCTCTTCACATCCCGTTTCTACTCCCATTTATTTAGATAATCACTTGCTCCATGACTAGTCCACCCACCTGGTATTATATGCGGGCAACAAAGAAAACCACTTGCCAGCAGAACTTCCCTTTTCATAGTGATTAAAATCCCACCAATAAGGCCCCTTAGTTCAGAGGAAGGCATTTATCTCCCCAGTCCCTCTCCCCCGTCCCTCCGGTTCTTCTTCCCTCTTTCGTCCTCTCACCCTGCGGACAGTCTGAAGATACAGATGCTGAAAGATGATGAGACAACCCCACCTACCACTCTTTCAGGAAAGGGACAGAAAATATGGCTGGCCTGCTGTCCCTCACCCCTACCCTTAAGCTCTCTAGCCCCACAATATGGGGGGTTTCAAAGAGCTTGGGTGAGCACAGGTCCCTGCTCTGCTCAAATCTCCTTCCACCCATCCAGACGGCCGAGGCCTAGTTTCCAGAGGGATAGGGGTGTGGATCATAAGTGAGTGTCCTGAGGCCAGTTGGTTCCTGAGGTTTGCATTTGGGAGTCTCCCCACTTCCACCAGCGGCCAGCCAGTGCCTCCTCAGATGATGGAGGCTCCAGCAGGCGAGCTGGAACATCTGGGAAAATGTTTGCTGAGCTGAGCTGCTGCCAGTGCCCACTGACCCAGCTCACGCTTGAGGCTGCTTGGGGTGGGGAGCCACAAAACCTGCCACCCAGCCTCTGGTCCAGTACCTGCCAGGCAGAGCTGTTCCCAGAATCCATGTGAGGCTCCAAGAGAGCAGGGAGGCCAGGATGGGCTTTGTCAGGGGAGCAGCAACGTTGAGGCTGCCTCAGCCTTACTCAGAAAGTGTGCCTGCCTGAGGCCTGTTAGTTTGTGGGATTTCAAATGGATAGGTGTGGGTATGAGTCACTCTGGGGAAAACGGTTACTGATATGCTCCCCTCCCTTGTGCCCCAGAATCAGGGTTGTGTCGTCCCCCTCTCAGAGAGGGCAGGAGCGACAGCAGTCTCCTAGACAAGAGCCCTCCTCGATGACCTGCAGGAACCAAGGTTCAACGACCTTCCGAATCTCCCGTTAGCCAAAGGGTCAGGCCGGGCACAGGGACACCTGGGCCCCTGTCTGCTCCAGAGGCCCATCCACTGTCCCTAGGGCTGGCTCCTTGGGAGACAGAGGTTCCCAGGCCTGGGGGCTCCTCAGCCTGGCTCAGTGCTGGCTTTGGGGACTGAGAGGATGTAGGAGGACAGGGCAGGGTGAGGCACCCTGACGCTGGCGGGGGAGGGGTGGGGGGGGTGTCTACCTTGCTATAGGCACTTTCAAAGTGTTAAAGGTGAGAGGCAGAAACAATTATCCCTAGGAAGAAAAGATAGGTATTTTTTAAAAGCAAATTAGATTATTTCCCATAGGCTTTTGCCACTTGAAGGGAGCCCTAGAGGGAACCCCGCCTCCTCCCGATCCCAGCATTCCACCTGGGCTGCCTCCCTCCTTGGCAGGTGGCTCAAACACAGGGCCAGCTTGGAGGCCATCTAAAAACTCTGCCCAGAGAGGGCCCAAGCCCCCCAGGGTCCCACTCACCCAGTCCTTACCCAAGAGAGCAGAGAGGCCAGAGGACTTACCCAGTCCTCTCCCGGCAGGCAGCCAATGTAGATGACAAACGATTGGGGTCTGCAGGCCAACTCCTCCATCCCATCATCTTAATCAGTCTCTCCTTCCCATTCAATCTTCTCCATTCACCCCGAGCAGCTCCATTCCTTCCTCTCCTTCCTTCCCTCCTTTTACTGAGACTTTTTTGTCCAGCTCATTCCCAAAGATAATCTGAAGTACAATTCTCTCCCTACACCCGAAAACATTTTATTGAATTCTGTGCACCAGGCTCTCGCACAGGTGTTCATTACACCCTTACATGCTTCCCCAGGGCACTTCACTTCATCCTGGTTCTAAGAAATTAGCTAGCCCAGCAGTTTTCAACCATGTGCCATGAGAATTTTTACATCACGCAGTTACCTGACTAGTCAGGTGCACTGACCTTTCTTCCATTAAGCTTTTGGCCCCAACCTTTTTGGCACCAGGGACCAATTTTGTGGAAGACAATTTTTCCACGGACCAGGGGGGTGGGGGGGAAAGGAGGCAGAGCTCAGGTGGTAATGCCAGCAATGCTCGCCCCTCGCCACCCCCCCCCAACTCCTGCTGTGCAGCCTGGTTCCTAACAGGCCACAAAAAGTTACCAATCCGCAGCCCAGAAGCTGGGGGCTCCTGCCTTAGACTGTCAAAAAAATGACAACAGCCAACACAGCCTTTTGGTGTAAATGAGTCAAAAGTATACCTATTTTGTCAGATCAGCAAAATATATACATTAAATGTTTTATTTTTAGAGAGGGAAAGGGAGGAAGAGGGGGAGAGAAACACTGATTGGTCGCCTCTCACACCCCCAACCAGGGACCTGGCCAGCAACCCAGGCACTTGCCCTGACTGGGAATCAAACTGGCCACCTCTCAATTTGCAGGACACACAACCCACTGAGTCACACCAGTCAGGGTGGCAAAAAATACATTTTTTGGTGTGATGTAGAAGTTTAGTAATTAATTTATGTGCATGAGATGAAAAGATTGAAAATCTCTGGGCTAATCAATGGGTTTCTTGGCCAAATGGCAGAGCTAAGACTGTAGCCCTGCCTCCTGCCCTCCGGACCACTACCCTGCATTGTCCCCTGATGGCCAAGGCAAGGACTCGAGGGAAGTTTCATTTCTTTAATGCTGGCTGAAAGGTTATCTTGGTGGTCGGTGTCTGGTAAGTCTATCCAACTCCTGTCTTGGTGCTTCTTGGGGCTGGCGGTGGGGTGGGAGGTGGGCTTCCTATCCCTCAAGTCCCCAAAGATGCTTCCAAGTGCTTTTTAGGCCAAGACCTTCAGGTGGAGGGTGAGACTGCTGGAAATTACCCCAGCTTTCAGGTATTCTGGAGGGCTGCGCATTGAGTATGAGCCACCTTGAACAATGTACTCGGCCCCAATCCAGCTTCCTGCTCACTCAACAGCCCAAGGAAAGGAGTGGGAGGCCAGGGATCACGTCTAGAACAAGGGAGTGTGCAGTACAGAGCACAGGTTTTACAAGACTGCGCTCCCACCACGGAGACCACCCGTCTCCAGATGCTAAGAGAACAGGCCTAGGCCTGGCACCCAGGCCTGTGCCTGTCCCCTTCCCACCAGCCCTTTAGGTGGTGGGCAGGAATGGCAGCTGGTCAGTCTGACTGCTGGGGCCTGAGGGCAGGAGGCAGACGTGGCTCTCACTCTGCCCACCACCCTGTGGCCTCCCCCAGCCCTCCCTGAGGTTACCCAGGTTTTCCTGGGGCCTCTATAGCACTAGCCTAGAAAAAGGGCTACCCACCTGACCTGCGCATGTTCTCCTTCCAGGACAAGACAATCACAAGTTCAGAAAACAGATTAACAAGGAAACAATGAATGACACTCTTCAGACTCTCTGGCAGGGGAGAGAGACAACCCCTGCCCGAAGGAGGCACTGAAAGGTGGAAGGGCTAGAAATCATCAACAGCTTTTCAGATTTTAAACACAAACCCCCAATAACCCTAGGTGTGCACACTCTTCTCCAGATGAAAGTCCTTTGTCCTCCTAAAGCCCAGGTCGGGGCTAAGGAGCTATGAGCAACACCAACGGAGAGATGGGGAGACCCAGACCCAGAAAGGGGAAAGTGCTTGCCCAAGTGCAAATGCTGGGGTAGCAGCCATGTCAGACCTGGAAGGTTTTCTGGCTAGTGGGTCCCCAAAATCTGAGGGGTCAGGCAGCCCCCATGCCTCCTGCTCCCAGCCAGTAGCAGCTCTGTGGCACACAGGTGTTCCTCCAAAAGGGGCGGAGGTGGGAAGGATGAGGATAAAGAAACCCTCCCCTGATACTTCCTGGGCCAGAGCAGGAACAAGGTATGAGTTTCTCCAATTTGCCCCACCCTACAAAGTATATTATTTTCATGGCTTGAAAGATTAACTTAAAATACTGAGAGGGTGGGCAGGCATCAGCTTCCAAGAAGACTGGGAGTTCTGTGGGGCTGAGCACCGGCTGTGGGGTAGGTGGTCCCTGAGGGATCTTAAGAGCGCCCTGGTCCAGCGCTAGGATAGAAGTGAGTTGAAATAAGGGCTCCCAGGAATGACAGGGGTGGGGCACAGGGTACAGCAGCCCCTTGCCCTCTTCTCAGAGCAAAAACAGAGCCTAATGCCCCAAACTGACAGGCTGAGTCCAACAGCCACCAGTTAACCAAAGTCATCTGAAACACTCTTCTCCCCAAGGCCTGCTCCCCTCCCCTGGCAGCCAGGCCCAATGCTCCCTGCACGTACAAGGGCTGGGCTGTCAGAGCCTTTGAGGGGTAGAGTATCTTGAGGGGTGCTGGGGACTCTGAAATGCGGTGGTCGCAGAGTTGCCCATTCAGGAAGACTGCTTCACCAGGGTGCACAGGGCCACAGAATTCTGGGCATCAGTCTGGGTGAGTGTCCCCCAACTCCAGGTGGCCTGTGGTCTGTCCAAGTCATCCTTTTGGGGTCACTGCAGGGTACAAGCTGTGGAGGGATAAGGGGCGAGGGTCAGTGCCAGGTTTCTGGCAAAAGAGGCAGAATCCAGGGCTGCCCTCAGCCTCCCTCATCCTCGGGAGAGGCCGAGACCCCGGGGCAGGACTCACAGCTCCGAACAGACTCTGACAGCCCCTCCTTGTCCAGGGTCTCATCTTCCCAGCGAGACTCCCTCATCTATGGAACATAAAGGTAGCACAGGGCGTGAGAGGAAACCGGGCGCAGGCACAGGAGCTACATCAACAGCCACTGAGCAACGGGGAGTGAAAGACAAAGAAAGTGGTGGAGATGCCTTCAGATGGGGACCCGGAAAGAGGGACACGTGGTGGTGGGGTGGTAAGGGGAGCAGAGGACAGAGAGCCACAGGCAGGACACACATAACCTTGCTCCAATGGCGTCCCCCCATGTGCCCACCTTGACCTGTTCTTTCAGGTATTCAGCTCGAGCCATGAGATTCTGAACCTGCCAAGGGTGTGGGGGAAGGGCCTTCAGCGTGAGGTAGATCCTCCTCACTCCTGCCGCTCTCCAGAAGCCTCTGTGCATCAGAACAACTTTCCTCTGAGTCCTTTACCTGCTCCCTCTTCCAGAAAGCCAACCTGACTAAAGCAGCCCGGCCAACTTTCTGTTGCTGAGTTCCATACCCTGCCTGTCCCACTGCCTGACCTGAGCTCCCAAGTCTCCCTGTGGAGCGCATGGGGCCCCCAACTTATCAAGTCTGTGAGATCTGACTCCCAGACTTGAAGCACCCTAAGGGAACCCAAGGAGGTCCTCCCTGATGGAAGTAGGGTCAAAGGAGAAGATGAAGCTCCCCAACTCTCCCAACCCTAGTGGGCACCTCAGTGTGAAGCAGCTCCCGCCTCCGGCCTGGGGGCTCCCCTGCAAAGAGAGGGAGGGTGCGCAGTGAGAGCAGGGCAGCAGGGGCTCAGGGAGTGTGGTGATGGGAGTCTTACCGGCCAGCAGCAGCAGCAGCTCCCCCAGGCTGTGCTGGTACAGGCCTAGGGCCTCCTGCTCCCCTCCACCTTCTTCCTCCTGCAGCCAGACACCAGGAGGGTCAGGACTCAGATTCCTCCCTGCCCCACCTGGACCCCTCCCACTGGGTACAAACCTTGGCCATGGCAGCTGAAGCCACTTCCAGGGCAGCGAGGAGGCGTGGCTTGTCCCGCGCCATCTCTGGGATGAGGGGCAAGGGCTCAGGGTGAGGGAAGCAGCTTGTTTTTTGTCTCAGGGAGCCGACCCCAATCTGCTTCCCGCTCAGGCCGGAGGGAAGCTGCTGGGGGCCTGGTGGTCAGTTGAGCTGGACTTACCTCTGAGCAGATCTCGGGCAGAGGCCCCCTGCCTCAGCAGGGCCCGATTGGAGGACGACACGACGGCCTTGAGCTCCTCAGCCCGGGACACATACTGCCCCACCTGCGAGGGCACGGCACAAGGGGCTGTCCCACCCTGCCTCCCTCACTAGCACCCACCTTTAAGTTCTCCCTCTAGATCTTCAGTGACTGTCCCTTGCTGTAATGTCAGGGGCTGCCCTGACCCTTTCCCAGGGCAGGAAATTCCAGTTCTAAGAGAGCCAGTCCCCAGTGGCCCCTTGACCCCTTCACCTGTGTCTTCCAGGAGACTCACTCACCCACCTTCGCCTTAATCACCTCCTTCCGCTGGGCATCTACTTCATCTGCAAACAGTGGTGGTTTACATGAGGACCTTGCCCCATGGCAAACCCTCTAGAATCTCCCAAAACACCAAGTTCCAGATTTACCCTCTGCCTTGTCTCCCATAAAATTCTGAATGGAGAGTCGCTTCTGGAATCCCTCCACAGCAACCATGGCCGACCCACCCCTGATACACCCAGGGCCTCCAGGCACTCACAGTGCAGGGCAGGCACGAAGAAGTCCAGGGCTTTGCAGTAGAGAGATAACGCGGCTGTGGCATCCCCCTCCTGATCCTTCTTCACAGCCTGCACCACCAGGGCGGTCTGGGGGTGTGCAGACCAGGAGTCATGCCCACCCTCTGTTCACCATGAAGCGGGAAGAGCAGGTTCCCTGAGACCTCCCTCTGCCCTCTGTGGGGCAAGTCACCTGTTTACCCCCAAAAAGGGTAGATGAACCCCCAACCTGCCCTCACCCCAGCCCATCCCGGGAGGCCTGCTCACTGCTCGTGCCAGGCTCTCCCCACTGGGCATGTGCTCCAGGTCCACCCAGGGGTGGGCAAAGAAGTCCTGGAAGGAGATGCGACAACCAGGGTCCCGCTCCAGGAGCCGCTGCAGCAGGTCCCGGCAGTCTCGGGAGAGAGGGGGCCGAAGCGGGAGCTGAGGGAAGAGCAGGGGACAGGTCATACTGGGTTCCAGAATCTCCCCCACCCTGTCCTGGTATGTCCCAGAGGCACATGTTTGACAAGTGGAGAATCTGAGAGCCTGGAGGAACAAGTCTGGGTGACGAGGCAGGAGAGAGCCAAGCCTCCTGCCGAGGTTCCTGCCCACACCCTCCTGGAACCCTGGACTGTTGTAGAACCTCCCTGCTTATGCTCGTGGGAAGGCGAGACCTGTCTACACAAATCTGTGGGCTAATCTGGGTCCCGAGAACTGGATGGCGCTTCAAGCATGCCCAGCACCACAAAGCAGCCTGGAGCCAATATCCCAGTCTGTACAGGGGTAGTGCAGTCCCCAGACTGAAGACTCTGACTCCCTCTGTCCCCCAACAGATAGCTGAGGCCCTGCAGGACCCACCTCGATAACCCGGTTACTCCGGATCTTCTCTTCCAGTTCCATGAACGACCTGGAGGCAAAGGGGGGCTGCCCGAAGAGGGCTTCTGTGGAGGGAGGCAGAGGGCAGGCTGGGACGTAACAGGGTCCAGCCTGGTCTGGCCCACTCCTGGGAGGGCCTCATACCCGAGTCAGCCTTCTCATTAAAGTCCTTCAGGAGTGGATAGACAGGGCTTGCCGGAGGACACACAATGCAGGCCTCACAGGGAGGGGGCAGGGGACAGAGCTCTTACCGTACAAGATGACCCCCACGGACCAGAGGTCGACACGGGCGTCATATTGCCTCTGACACACCATCTCAGGGGCCATGTAGAGAGGGGAGCCGCGGAGCACATGCTTCTCATCCCATGGAGACATGTGCTGTGCAAAGCCAAAGTCTGCAGGCAAGAGGCCAGGCAGAAGGGCTCAAATTCCAGCTGCCTCTACTCTTGGCCTCTGAGGTTTCATCCTGAGCTCAAGCACAGGACTCATCTCTACCCCTCAGGCCCACCAGGATCAATCCCGCTTCCCAGCCTTTGCTCACCATTAACCTCGAACATCCTCCTCCATCTTCCTGTGGGGGCATATATCCTACCCATCCTACACAGCCCCCTCAGGCACCTTTTTCCAGGAAGCCCACACTCACACCAGCTATGAGGATAATGGCCCACTAGGAGGTGGAACCCTCCCTTGCTGTCCCACCAAGCTCAGGTTATACCACACTCTCTGCACTACAGCCTCAAGTCAATTCTTCTCCAAACCCTATCAGGAACCACAATCACTCTTCCCCCTCCTCACACCCTCTAACACTGCCATAGGCTGAGTCATAGTTTGAGCCCCAATCCTGATGACATACCAACTTTTGACCCTGGTCACACAACGAGTTCTAACCCTGATCCAAAACCATTATACTACTAGAGTCGAGTGTGGGTACCCTTTTGGTGATGGGGCCTGTCCCTGGATCTCCCAGCCTGTCACTGTTTGAACTCTATAGAAGGCTCCATGAGGACCAGGGTGGTTGTGTGCACAGCCACCCTCCAAACACCAAAGCTCTATTCAGTTCTAGGGACCCAGATCAGCCCAGAGATTGTTGTGTAGACCCAGGCCTAGACTTTCACTGCTGTTTCAGACTCACACCTGCCAGCTTAAGGTGGGGCTTCTCCAAGGAGGTCAGCAGAATGTTCTGTGGCTTCAGATCCAGGTGAGATATGTTCCGTTCATGCAGAAACTGCAGGGCACTAGCTAGGGAGCAGGACACATGCAGAGAAACAGGTCAGAGGAGCCCATCTCCCACCTGCCTCTTGCCTCCCCTGGCTTAGATTTGCTCCTGCAAGCCTGCACAACCCCAGTTCTGGCCTGGCTGGTCTACTGAATGCCTTACAGAGAAGTACGAGGTTCCGAGGTTCTGATGCCGTCTTTCCTCTCTTGGGCCCCTTGACAAGTCTCTACTCTTTCTAGAAGCCTTCCTGGATGCCCCAGCCCTTTAGGCCCTTGCTCGTTCTCTTGGCAAAGCACTTGGGTACTACCCACTGGGCCCTGGACTTCTCACAGATCAGGGCTTCTGCCTCTCTGACTCTCGTAACATCCTTAAGCTAGGGATTGGCACGTGGCAAGGATGGGGCCCCATAAATCCAAGTTGGGAAAGAGACACCTGCCAAGAAAGCAGGGGCTCTAGGTCTGTGTAAGGGTGTGGTGGGAAAACAGACCATGGGAAGTCTGGATCAGAGGCTTTTACCTAACTGCTGCATGAAGACACGAGCCACCTTCTCAGGCAGAATTCGACGGGTATGGATGAAGCGAGACAGGTCACCCCCTGCGCAGAACTCCATGATAAGGTAGATGTTGTCACTGTCCCACTGTGGTTAGAGGCAGAGAGGCAGCTTGAAGAGAGTGTCTCTTCTCCAGCCTCGTTTGGGGGTGGCCCCACCACAGGCCTGCACCTGGAAGTCTTTCAGCTGCACGATGTGGGGGTGTCGAATGCCCTTGAGGATCTCAATCTCTGTCAGGAGGTTTTCCACGGATGCCTTGTTTAGACTCTTCTTGGCCACGCACTTTATGGCAACCACTTCTCGAGTGTCCTTCTGCTGGGGCAAGAGATTTGAGGGCTCTGCCTTGAGGGAGCCAGGGCCCATGCCTGGCCAGAAAGGCTCTGGTTCCCTCTGCCCTGCTCTCCCTCACTGGGCCTACCCATTCACACCTACAACCAAGCTTCCCAGCGTCCCTTTGTCAGGCCAATGAGGCCCCTCATTTTGGAATCCTGGCCTCTTCACCCAGTCTGGTGATCTCCAACCTTCTGCTCCATAAGCCCTATGAGCCTTTCTAGAGTACCCTGCTAAGTAAGGCATGTCAGTCAGTGCTCTGGAAGTGCCTGCTCTGCTTCCTAAGCGGGTCCAGGCTGCCAGAACCCTGTCCAAGACTTCTCCCAGCCGACCAGGTATCCTGTTTTGAGCCCATTCTTCAGCCACTGACATAAGGCTCCATCCAGGTCTCCACAGGCATGTCCGAAGGTCAGATTGGGACGTGGCAGGCCGTGGACACCTAACTACCCTTATATAGTCTCTAACCTCCCCTAGTTTCCCAGCCTGGCACCCTCCTGGGCGCGCTCAGTGTCCAGTGGGCAAAGGGTCAGGCCCTCAAAGTTCTCGTGCCCCAATGCTGGCCCCGCCCCGCACCCACCTTGGCATAGGCCTTGTATACCGTGGCATACGTGCCACTGCCCAGGCGTTCGGTGAGAATGAAGCCGTCCAACCGCGGGGGCGCCCAGCCAGACCCCGCCATCCTGACCACCAGGCACTTCCTGCTTCTCCGCACGGGTTCCGGTTCGGAGCTGAAAGGGAGGAGAGTGCAGCGACAGAGCCCGACTCCCACGCTGCCCCTAGCGGGGCCCGCCAGAAGTGCAGCGCGAGGGGACGGGCTGGCTCTCCCGCCCATGCTCCCCGCCCCCTCCAGCTGCTCTGCTCTGAATACTGCCCACACCTCCTCGGTCTCCATCCGCAATGGGAATCACATGATCCGCAAGCTCCTTCTGGGAGTACTGTGGCCCCGCCGAGCTCCGCTAACGAACTAGAGGCTAGCAGATGAGGTCACTGGGAAACTCTTCAGGGGCTCGGATAGGGTCTTAGAGATCGCCCACGTGAGGAGCAAGGGTTGGGGGTGGGGAGAATCAAAGAGGCCCCTCCCCGCAACACCAGCAGCCCCGAAAGCGGAATTACTGGGACAAAAAAGTAGCATGGAAGAAGCCAATAGTTATCTCAGGCAGGGGCTCGCCCCTGAGGGATAGACCTGTCCCAGACGAGCCAGGGAGCAGGATGGCCAGATGCAGCATCTTGACTGACCCCTCACACCTATAGAGGGCCCTTTGCCTCTACGCCCCGTAGGCCACCCTCATCTCCCAAATCCAGCAGACGTTAGAACCAGTGTTGTCTGATAATGTCTTTTTATTTAAGCACAAAATTGAAATACAACATATACATTTGTACATGGAGAAAAAAAATACTAAAAAGGAATTTACAAAACCTTGGTCACTGTCATTAAAATATCATTCAGTGGCTCTGGAGTGGAGTAGGCTGGCAGCCTCTGGGTTGACCAGCTTTTTGAGAAGTCCCCTCAGTCCCTGAACCCATTCCTACAGCCTCTGGAGGATATATGGTGCAGGTGTTAACTGTGGACTCCTAGGTGCCCATCACAGTGACACACGTCCTAAGGAATCCCCAGAACCAGTGGAGGAAGGTGACCTAGACTCTACTCCTACTCAAGGTATAGGAGAACACTAAAGGATGAGTCTGGACTGATTGGCCCAGCCCTTCCTGAGAGTCACACAAACTAGATATTGCTGATGTAGGGGGCAGAGTGGGCAGAATCAGAGGCCAAGGCAGAGCACAGCTGACCCCTAGAAGAGGAAATCAAAACGGATGCAACCCACACCAGGACAGACTCCCCACTCCCAGAAGACTGCTAAAGCATGGGCAGGACAACTTGGGGTTGTCCTCTGTCCCTCCCCATCCCCCAAACCAACCAACCCCAATGCACATTCAGTAAGTCTAAACAGGGAAGGGCTCAGGGAGGGCTCCTGATGGCCAAGGATGCTGCGAACACAGGAAAGCGCAAGGGGGCCGAAAGGCCTATGATTCTATTTGCAGGAAACATGAGATAGGGGAGGCTGAGGAAAGCAGGCCAGAGACCTGTCCAGAGTGATCTAGGGAACAGAGCTGTCCACCAGCCCAAACCACAGCTCATCTTAAGGGGAACTCTTGAGCCTTGGCCAGTGTGGCTCAGTTGGTTAGAATGTGGTCCTCCTGTAAACCCAAAGATCTTGGTTTTGATTCCCGGTCAAGGCACGTGCCTAGGTTGCAGGTTCAGTCCATGGTCAGGGTGCACGTGATAGGCAACACATTGATGTTTCTCTCTCACATCAATGTTTCTTCCCCCCTCTCTAAAACCAATAAGCATGTCCTCTAGTGAGGATTAAAAAAATAATAAAGAATAAAGGGGAGACCCTTGTGGAGTCATCCCATGCTAGCAGGAAGGGAAGACAGAACTGTGGAAGCCACAGGCTGGTTCTGTGGGTTGATTCTGGCCGGGCTGCTTGGGGAGGAGTAGGGCTCAGGGCCCTGGCAGAAATACAACTCCAGCTGGGGTGGGCCCAGGTTGGCCAGTTATCCCATGTGTGTACATGTGTGCATGTGTATGTGCATGAAGGGGAAAGACAACTTCAGTTCCACTGCTTCCAGGGAGACAAAAGAATCCTATCAAACCACCATCAGAGGACAAAAGACAGCTTTGATTTTTTTTCTTTTCTCTTGTGCAAAAAAGTCCCTATCCCTCCCTCCCCTTCGGTGGAAGGGAGAGCTGGTTGATGAGGAAGGAGGAAGAGCCATGGCAAGACCCTCCCTGGGTCTGTGCTGGGCGTAAGTACTGCTCAAGGCACCCATGGAAAGTGCAGCTCAGAAGGCACGCAAGAGAAAAGGCGGGGGCAGAGGGAGGAGAGTCAGGAGGACTAATTCCCCTGGAAGGCTCCTTGGGCAGCAGATGATGCAGCACTTCGGAAGGTCCTGTTGCTGAAGATGCCCTGGGAAAATTCCTCTTGGGCCTGCTGGAAGCTGGCCCCCGTCCGGCGGTACAGGGAGTGCACCTGGGAAAAATGCTGTGGTGAGGGAGACCCACCCTGTGGGCCCACAAGTAACCCAAGCCTGTCTGACCACCCCCCACCTGGCCGAGCCTTGGAGAAAGCCACTGGACCTTCAGGGATTCAGGAGGCCCAACTGCTGTGGTGAACATCCCCATGGTGAAAGCAGGAGAGAGGTGCCTGCTTCCTCGGGTTTGCTGCTGGCCCAGCACCCACCACTCACCCGCTTCAGGAGGAAGAGTGACAGCACGGCACAGAGGGTGAAGAAACCAGCCACCACCATCATGATGATCGACACAGCCAAGTTGTGCTTCAGGATTGACAGGGCTGCAATCCAACCACTACAAAGGGAGGAGGAGGCCAGAGAGGGTATAGTGGGAGTGGGTCCCAGAGATCATGGGGATGAGGGGCTCTTCTCCAAATGGCTGCTGTATGCTGACCACTGCCTAGGCCAATAGGTCCCACAGAGCCCACATGGACTCTCTGGGCCATGTGAGGTCTGGAAGGGATGTGGCTGCTGCCCTCACAGTCAGGACTAGCCCTAGGTAGGGCCTTTTTCTGCTGTTTTGGGGGCTGGGGAGACATGGAAAGCCTGGCTCCTCACTCCTGAGGGCCCAGACTCTGGAAAGGAGAACTACTGGCCCACCCACTGCATTCATCCTGTCACCTCTCCTCCTCCCACTGGGGCCCATCAGTTGGTCATATCTCCTTCCTGAGCTTTAGCTTCTTCATCTATAAAAGGAGATATCCTCATACTTCATGAGTTAAAAAGTTACAACATAGTTGTCAAAATAGTGTAGTACTGGTGCGAGGACAGATATATATGCTATATAGATCAACAGAATAGACTCAGAAGTCCAGAAACAGCCCTACCCCTAGCTGGTGTGGCTCAGTGGATTGAGTACTGGCCTGCGAACCAAAGGGTCGCTGGTTCGATTCCCAGTGTAGGGCCCATGCCTGGGTTGCAGGCCAGGTCCCCAGGAGGGGGCGCGCAAGATGCAACCACACATTGATGTTTCTCTCCCTCTTTTTCTTCTTCCCTTCCTCTCTCCAAAAATAATAAAAAAATCTTAAAAAAAAAAAATTTAGCCCTGGCTGGTATGGCTCAGTGGATTGAGTACTGGCCTGCGAACCAAAGGGTCACTGGCTCGATTCCCAGTCACGGCACATGCCTGGGGTGCAGGCCAGGTCCCCAGTACAGGTGCATGAGAAGCAACCACACATTGATGTTTCTCTCCTTCTCTTTCTCCCTCCCTTCCCCTCTGTCTAAAAATAAGTTAATTAATTAAATAAAATCTTAAAAAAAAAGTCCAGAAACAAACCCACACATCTGTCATCAACTGATTTTCACAAGTCTGCCAAGAACACTGAATGGGGAAGGATGGTCTCTTCAATAATGGTGATGGGACAATTGGATATCTACAGGCAAAACAATTAAGTTGGACCCTTACTTCAACCATATGCAGAAATTAATTCAAAATGGGTAAGTGACCTAATGGTAACTCAAACAATAACATTCTTACAAGAGAACAGAGGCAGCTCTTCATGACCTTGGATTGGCAATGGTTCTTAAATATGACATCCAAAGCACAATAAAAGAAAGATAAATTGGACCTTATCAAAATTAAAAACTCTAGCCCTGGCTGGTGTGGTTCAGTGATTGAGCATTGGCCTGCAAACTGGAAGGTTGCTGATTCAATTCCTGGTCATGGCACATGCCTGGGTTTTGGGCCAGGTCCCAGTTGAGGGTGTGTGAGAGGCAAACAGTTGATGTTTCTCTCTCTCTCTCTCTTTCTCCCTCCCTCCTCTCCCTCTCTATAAAAATAAATAAAATCTACCAAAAAAAAAAAAAATTAAACGTTCTAGTATATCAAAGGACACTATCAAGAATGGAAAAATAGAATAAAGTCATAAATTACATATCTGATAAGAAGCTAGTATCCAAAATATATAAAGAACTAAATGACAAAAAGACCATCCAATTAGCAAAGACCTTAAATAGACATTTCTCCAAATAAGATATACAAATGGCTAACAAACACATAAAGGATGACTAATCAGGAAATGGCAGTCAAAAACCACAATGAGGTATCATGCTTCTAGGTCGGCTATAATAGAAAAAGGAGAGTGGAAAATAAATGTTGGCAAGGATGTGGAGAAACTGGAACGCTCATACACTGCTATTTAGAATGTAAAATGGCCACTGTGGGAAACAATTTGGTAATTCCTCAATAAATTACACACAGAATTACCATGTGACCCAGCAATTCCAGTTGAGATAAAAACCTCAAAGAAACAAAAACAGGTACTCAAAAACTTGTGCAGAAATGTTTGTAGCAGCACTATTCACAACAGCAAAAGGGTGGAAACAACCCAAATCCCTATCACCAGTAAGTGGATGAACAAAATGCAACATATCCAAACAATGAACTACTACTTGGCCATAAAAAGAAATGATGTACTGCTCCATGTTAAAACATGAACCTGGAGGACATCATGCTTAGTTAAAGAAGACAGACAAATCCAGAGACACAGAAAGCAGTTTAATGATTGCCAGGGGCTCAGAGAAGGAGGGTATAAGGAGTGACTGCTTACTAGGTATGGAGTTTCCTTCTGGGGTGATAACAATGTCCTGGAACTTTCCCTGACCAGTGTGGCTCAGTTGGTTGGGCATTGTCCTACAATATGAAACGTCTCCAGTTCAATTCCCAGTCAGGGCACACACCTGGGTTGTGGGTTCAGTACCTGGTCACAGTGTGTACAAAAGGCAACTAACTAAGTTTCTCTTTCACATCGATGTTTCTTCTCTCTCTCTCTCTTTTAAAGATTTTATTTATTTTTAGAGAGAGGGGAAGGAAGGGAGTAAGAGAAGGAGAGAAACATCAATGTGCGGTTGCTTCTTGCGCACCCCCTGCTGGGGACCTGGCCTGAAACCTAGGCATGTGCCCTGCCTGGGAATCGAACCAGTGACCCTTTGGTTCGCAGGCTGGCACTCAATCCACTGAGCCACACCAGCCAGGGCCACATCAATGTTTCTCTCCCTCTCCCTCACTTCCCCTGTCTCTAAAAATAAATAAATAAAATCTTTTTAAAAAATGCTGGAACTAGATAGTATTAGTGATTCCCCAAAACTGAGAATATACAAAATGCCATTGAACTGTATACTTTAAAATGGTTTCAGAGATACATAAAATGATATATTTTATTTTAGGTGTATCTTACAATCAAAAGGGAGTGCTATGAGGTGAGATGAGAAAGGCATTGGGAGTCTAGAGGCTGCAAAGTTCATCCAGGTAGGCAGAGGTAGGGCAGTGAGGGGCAGAGCCAGGACCGGAAATCAAGCTTTCGGACATCTCGTCCAGGGAGCAAACAGCAGTTATTAATCATTGCCTTTTTACCAAGATCTCACTTACGGTAATGAGTAATGAAATTGGGTCACCAAAGAGAAAAGGGGCCAGATTATAAACAATAAGATGAAAAAGAAGAAGGGTAGTGGAGGGCAGGGTGCACTTGGCTCTGGGTTAGGGGTAAGTCAGCCCCCTCCCTACTGCTCTGGACTTGCCAGCTCCACTGGAGAGATGGGACCAAAACAGCACATCCCTTACAGGCTCAGGCTTTTAGCCAAGTGCCAGCCTGACCTTTCTGTAATGTTCCCTGTGCAGTGAGACAGAAAGGAAAACATCAGCTATCAGCTTTTCTTTCTGAGACTAATTTTGAGTGGAGGACTACAGCACCCAGGAAGCTCAGCCAACTGTATGCTCAAAGGAGCTCATCCAGGAGAGGCTAGGATTCCATCTCTTGAGGTTACAGGGTCTCCAGACAGTCACAGCTCAGGAGCTGCAAAGACCAGGGCATCCATCAGCAGCTGCCCAAATGCAAGAGCGTTTGGCACCTGTGGAAGTAGCACCAGCTTCTCGAAGGGTGCGGCAGAAGGAAATGAAGAGTCTGCAATCCAGTGCAGGACACAGCCCAGGTAGCCTAAGGATTCAGGCCAAGTTCACCCACAACACCCCAAAAAGTAGTAAGCAAGGCAAGACAGGGAGTGGCTACTGGTGAAGAACTGAAGGCAGATCCAAGCTGGCCCAAGTTAACACTCTCTGCCATGGTGGGAGACGGGCCAACTGTAGGGGCTCTCAGGGGCCTGCAAACAGGGCGAGAGAGGCTGAGCCAAGCCTCCAAAGCATAGTTTCCTCTGTACTGCTCCAGCTCTCACCTGTCCCCCAGGCTAGGGATGCCGATCAACTGGATGACATAGATCCCTATTTGACAAAAAAATACAAAGAAGAACACGAAGAAGCTGAAAGAGTTGTCGGACCTGTGGAAAGAGGGGGGAAACCAGGAGTCACAAGAGGGTCTAGGACTCATTCTTCAGCATTTTTCACACGGTCTGACATTCCTCCTTACTAGAAGCCAGTAGGCAGGACTGGAGAGCAGACAGAGTACCAGAGGACCAGGCACACTGTCTGCAAGGACACACACAGAGATACAACGCCCCCACCCCCTCCGCCCATATCCAAAAAGGGCTTGCCTTTTTCACTGCCTTCCAATTTAAGGGGTCAATGCTTGACCCCTTTCTCAAAGAGCGAATAAAGTTGCTTGCCCAAAGGACAGTATAAAGAGCTTAACAGTCCATTTCCTGGAGTACTTATGTGCATTTCATAATAGAAAAGAAAATCTAAGTCAAAGGTATAAATCTTTAATAATTAAACTGTAGGCCTGAGTGGCAGAAAAGGTATTTGGGGAGTAGAAAACACTAGACAAAACTGGTGTTTTGAGTACCTCCATTTCCATGTACTTGAAGGCTAGAGTACAGGGAGGGTTCAGGTCCTACCTGCTGAGTGCTGGGGTGGGAGGGGGGTGGGGGCAGGTTCTTCCACTGCCCTGCTCCCTGTTCCTGGGGCCGACTGGGCTCCCAGCTCTGAAAGCATCAGCTCTGAGGCACAATTCCAAAACCCTAGGATCCATTAAAGTCCACAGTATCTATTCTAGGTCAACAGGTCAAATGCTGGCACTCAGCAATGCCCTACAGTTACTTGGGAGGCAGGGGGAGGGGCATAAGCAAACATGCAGAGATAAGCCATTCAGAGTGTATCTCAGAGCCTGACTATCACAGAAGCATACTCTAGAGCAGCGATTGTCAACTTTTTTCATCTCATGGCACATGTAAACTATTTACTAAAATTCTGCAGCATGCCAAAAAAATATATTTGTCAATCTGACCAAAAAATAGGTGTAATTTTGATTCATTCACACCAGGCAGTTATTGTTGTGTTGGCTGTTGTCATTTCTAATTTGACAATCTAAAGTAAAAGAGGTGAGCACCCCTGACTCAATAGTCAGGTACTGCATGTTTTAAAAATTCTTGTGGCACATTAGTTGAAAATTGCTGCCCTAGAGCCTTGGAAGGGAACGAAGAAGTCCCCTCCCTCTCCCCAGTGACTGAAATCCTCCTGTACCAAACAGACTGGGTGCCGTGGAAGGGCAAGTAAGGCTCCTGCTCCCTCTCTAGATCTCTAGATCTGTCCTGGTCAAGGGACAAGGCCCAGAGCAGACCTCAGGTACAACTGAGGAAAATGGCTCCTGATACCTACCAACTCTGGCTGTGGGAGGGAATGGGAAGTGAATTTCCCACAATTCTATTCTGCTCCGACTGGAATGGAGCCTCAGGGGTCATGGCCCTAGACCTGCTACCTGGGATGCCAGCTAAACACTCCCCCATTGCCCCAGCCACACTCACCTGAAGGCCTTATAGATGGGTCGGTACCAACAAAGGAAGGCACAGGGGGTGAAGATCACAAACCACAGGATCGAGAGGCCAAAGTCTACTCCCTTGCTGCTGTCAACTAAGAACCAGGCCAGGCAGGCAAGTAGGTTCAGAAACAGGGTCACTGAATGCACTGTGGAGGGGGGAGACAGACGTGGGCTGGTGCCAAAGTGGCTGAAGGGCTCCTGGACACGGCAAACCACCCCCTGGAGAGGAGATGAGGTCCATGCTGTCAAGGCAGCTGCAGCAAGAGTAGAGGACCTCGATCTATACACAGGCAGGGCTAGTTCCCATCCTTGCTGTTCTGGGACCTCACAACCAGGGACCAAACCAAGCTCCTAAGAGGTGGTGACACAGCCCAGGTATCTGAGGGGTGGTGGTGGAAAGGGTGCAGACCCAGGAACTGATCCTTGGGGAATGGAGTCTTTCTCTAAGCAACTCTTTTCCCTAGCCCTGGATGGCCCACAGGGGAGCAACAGGGAGTCTTTTATCCTCACCCCGAAGCCCAGGGGTATGTAGGGAGGGGAGGGCTTCACCTAAGAAAGACCTTTTAGAACAGTGAGCTCCACAAGGACTCAGAAACCTTCTAGATACATGGTATGGACCGGCCCTTGAGAGGAGGTTCCCAGGACAAAGAGCAGACTTCAGAGGGCCAATTTTGTGGGCAAAAGGTCCCATTGCAGTCTGGCCAGCACTGAGGAAGGCTGGAGACCAACAGGGAGGAGCAGCCAGAGCATAGATAGGGCTCTCAAGACACAGCCCATTTTAGCCTTGAGCCCAGAGGGGCTGGACTCACACATCCAGAGGTAGTAGAGCATCTTGCATATGCGCTGGTAGTCAGCAGGAATCTCTGTGGAGAAGTCCTGATAGAAGCAGGGCTTGACAGGGCACCACAAGGGCAGGGGTGGCCAATTGTTCTCTCTCACTGTAGAGAAAGAGATGATGAGACAAGGCCCAGCTTCAGCAGCAGCACAGCGCAGTGCACATGCCGGCCCAGTTTATGGGCCAAACCAGGGCTCCCAGAAGGGCACCAGCAAGCAAGGTCTTCAAGGGTATAGAGTGGGAAGGGAAAAGGATGATAGGACATAAACACACACAAACTCAGTCCAAGATAATGGACTCCAAATGCTTTGGGGAACCCAGAGCTAAACAGCTTAAGTGATTATTTTTTGAACAGCCTATAACCAAGGAATTATGGGAGCAGTGCCCCAGCTCTATCTTCTTTAGAACTGGAAAGGAGTGCAGAAATAATCCATATCCATTAAGATTACATGATAGGCCCTGGCTGGTATGGCTCAGTGGATTGAGCGCCGAACTGCAAACCAAAGGGTCGCTGGTTCGATTCCCAGTTGGGGCACATGCCTGAGTTGCAGGCCAGGTTCCCAGTAGGGGGTGCTCAAGAGGCAACCACACATTGATGTTTCTCTCCCTCTCTCTCCAAAAAATAAATAAGTATTTAAAAAAAAAAAGATTACACGATAGGTCTGACTTCCACCTTACTGCTCTCCCCAGGAGTAACACCATTCTAAGATGATCAAGAGCTAAGCAAAGACCTGAGGCTGCCCTAGGAACAAGCAAGCTGAGGGAACCCTCCTGTACCAGGCCTGGTAACCCAGGGCTCCATGCAGCCTCCCTTACCATGTAAGTTGGCCACAGAGTTCTGCAGCTCCCGCTCCTTGCGTTCCAGCTCGGCTGCCTTCCTGTCCAGTTCTTCCTGCTGCCGCAGCAGGCTTGCCTGGGCTGCAGAGGCCACAGCCTGGAGCGAAAAGGGGAAGTGGGAAGCAGTGAACACGAGAGACAGAGGGACAGTGCTGGCCTGACGGGAAGTCACAGGGCCTGTGCCCCATGCAGGGAGCGCCAACTGGGAGTCCCAGAGGAAGTTCCCACCCCCAGTGTCTTGGGCACCTGAGACCATCACAGAGAGGCCGCGGTGACCTGTCCCCTACTGCCCTTACAACACCTCTGGCCCCCTCACCAATACAGGGTTCCCCTCTCCCTTTCATTCTGAAGCTTGAGATAGAACCACCCCGCAAGGCTGTAGTCCAGGCCAAGTTCAGTTATACTGACCTTTGGGGTGTCAGCAAGGGCAAAAGGCCTCACAAGAAACTGTCCTGTAGCCAGAAACCCAGAGGCCCAAGCCTCGATGGAAGAGCCTAGAAGGGGTGTGTGTGAAGGGAAACAGTGCAAACCTGCTAGAGTAAGTGGGCAGGAGAGACGCTTGGGCCATACTGTGTGTACCTGGAGCCTGAGGAATGTACACTGAAGCACCCTCCCCTGCTCCTCACCTGACGTCCACCTGAACTGTAGCTGGCTATATCCCAGGATAGCCCCTCAGGGCTGGCCCAGCCCTGCCCTGCTTGGCTTTCATGGCATGCGGAGCCCAAGCTTTGTCCCCTCTCCAGACAGAGTAGTGTCTCCAAGTGAGGCATCTACGGGACTCTATGTGAAGCTTAGCAGAGTTGGGGCCAGAGTTCCAGCCCATGCCCTGCCCCTGCTGGGTGCTACAGCTGTTGGGGCCCAGTTCCTCCTGAAGGCCACAGTCCTTTTTAGGGAGCAAATATCAAACTTCTCATCTCATAGGATGATAAGCCAGGCATAAGTGTATATACATATGTGTGTTCTCTCTCCCCCAAAATGAGTTCTCCAAAGAGCTAAAGCTACCTTCAGTGGGTAAATTTTAGGCACTAGGCAGCAGGACCAGAATTGACCTCAGTGAGGGTCTTAGCCTATTTCCCCAAGCCTCTGACTTCAATTGAGCAGGACCCAGGATGACATCACCCTGCTGAGCAAGTAAGTCCCCTCTGCCTCACAGGATTCTAGGGCCATGTGTGGGCCCCAGAGTCACAAGGTTCCAGGGTCCCATGCAGGGGAAGCACTTTCAGAGGAAGTCTGTCCAGACAACGGGAGCAGCTTGCGACCAGTAGAGCTCAAAGCCCAGCTTGGGCCGGGCCGAAGGAACTTTGCCTTCACTCCTGCTCACCTATACTTTGCCTACCTTCGGAAGTTTTCGTATGTAGCTGTCTCTGAGAATACTATTTCCTCCTAGTAGCACCTGCCTCTCTGAGAGGTCACTCACTGCCAGGAATCTGGTAGGCAGGAACTTGCTGGCCTGTCTAAGCAGGAGCTGCAACATACAACTCCACTGTGGGTCATGCTCACCAGGGGCAGTGCAGAGCGTGGGGAAGAACAGCAAGGCAAGAGGGTGGAGAGTTGGGCACCAACCAGACAAGAGTTACAGTATTTGGTGAAGGGACAAAGGCAGGAATACATGAGGTTAGAAGAAAAAAGATAGATTCTGGACCCTGAGTAAGAGAGAACAAGTCAAAGGCCTCAGGAGGATCTAGAATGGCATGATGGGCAACGCTCTTGTCTGAAGATATCCAGGACTCTAGCTTGGTGGGTGGGGCTTATTTTTTGGTGTTGGCAGTGGCATGTGGGGTAGGGAGTGAAGGTATAGGTGAGCAGTCTCTCCATATGCAAGTGACCAACTCCAAAGATATTATTATGAGGGCCCCTGAAGAGAAGCCAGGGAATAAGGCCTTTTGCCCACCCCTCCATCTCAGGACTCAGCTACTAGTCTAGGTGCAGTACTTCCCTTTCTGGCAAGGAGAGGCAAAGGGGATCTTTGTCAACAGTACCTGGGGGGTTGGCTGGGCAGGCTCCACTGAGGGTTGGAGAACTGCTGGCTGCGAGGGCCCGGGGAGCTGGGTGACGGGAACCGTTGTTGCTGCATTTGTCTGAGTGGGAGAATCAAAGGAGTGAGGAGAGTAGGACTCCACCAGCTGACCATGTAGGAGCAAACCACAGGAGGGTAAGTGATGTGCCCTTACCTGTGAGGAGTACTCCCCTGGGCCTCCCTCTGTAGCTTCTCGGCCAGCAAGCCTCAGGCCCTGGGCACTGTGATGCCTAACCCAGCACTCCTGGCCTTTCTGGACTCAGAGCTCCTGGCGCTGCCCTGCCCTCTTCAGGGAGGGGCCCAGGTCACGGATCCCAAGGGGAGATTTGGTGTCTACCTAATCTTACCCCCATCCCCCACATTCATGTTAAGACTGTCCCTTCGAGGACTGCAGCTTCTCAGAGAACTGTGTCTTGCTAAGGCTCCTTGCTCCAGAGACCCTGGCACCAGCCAGAGGACCTAGGCACTCAGAAAGAAGGCATGCTCACCAACCTCTGAGAAGGGGTTGAATTCAGCCAGGCCACCTTGTGAGGCATGGGTCAGCTGGGTCACAGACGGGTCCTGAAAAGGTGAAAAAGAGCCATTAGATGCTGAGGAAGAGAACTTTAATAAGGAAGGGACATCACCGTCTGAGGGCTAGCAGGTAACCCCAGGGAGGCTTGGCTGAAGTGAGGCTGCTGATGGCCCTCCCCAAAGAGCCTCTTCTGAAGGCTTCAATGCCCAGCCCCTGCCACAGAGCTGCAATCCTTTTCCTTTTCTGGAAAAGGAGGGGTTCAGCCCAGATGATTTCCCAGAAGAGATACAAAGCAAGTTTTACACTTTGAGGCCTGGGAATCAATACTGCACATGTTCTTGCTAGTACCCTTTATAGATTTGTTAACAGTTCATAGTATTTAATTCCAGGGAGTGGGTTTTTTTGGCCAGAGTGGCGGTGAATGGGTGGATACTTTTCACTTTATAGCTTTCCTGTACTGTTTTTCTTTTCTTTTTTTTTTAATCCGCAACCGAGGACATGCTTATTGATTTTGAGAGAGAGGAGAAGGGAGAAAGAAAGAGAGGGAGAGAAACATCCATGTGAGAGAAAAACATCAATTGGTTGCCTCCCATATGCATCCTCACCAGGGATCAAACCCACAACCTAGGCATGTGCCCTGACTGGGAATCAAACCTGAGACTGGTTTACAGGACAACATTGCAACCAACTGAGCCACACTGACCGGGGATCTGTACTGTTTTATTATTTATTGTTTTATTCCTCTTAGTTTTTTAAAGGACAGTTCGAGTTGTAAAACAAAAACATGCTACTGGGTGCCAGTGCTAATTTGATTAAATCAGGTACACTTACTGGGAATAAAAACATAAAGGACTCAGATAAAAATCCAGAAAAGTGTTTTTTGGTTGTTTTTTCCCCTCCTAGATTCTTTTTTTTTTTTTATTTTATTTATTTTTAGAGAGAGAGGAAGGGAGGACTTGAGAGGAAGAGAAACATCAATATAAGAGAGGAACATCAACTGTTGTCCTCTTGTACACGTTCGGACCAGGAACCGAACCTGCAACCCAGGTATGTGCCTGACGACCTTTCACTCTTTCACTGAGCCACACCGATCACGGCTCTTTTCCTAGATTCTTTAAAAAAACAAATACAAAAATGTCCTCAGACCACAGCTTGTCCTAAGTTTTTAATCTTCCCTTTCCTATCTGATCTCTGCTAAAGCCAGCCCTGCTGGCCTAGGGCCTGCACAACGCTCCCTGCCTCACTCCTCACCCAAGCAGCCTTCCTGCTGGCCTGAGGCCAGTCTGTCTTCATCCTGCCCCTCACCAAGCAGAGCTCCTTATACATCCCCGCTTCCCCACAAATACAGGTATAGGCTCAGGTGTAGCGCAACAGCAATGCCTGTGCTCTGAGAGAAATGGCTATGAAGGGTAAAAAGACTGCCACTGGACTCGGCCAAGGCCCCTGTTACAGGCCTCACCTAGGCTTCCCTGTCTGCACACCTCACTATCCCGCACTATTCATCCAGATGCTCCTGTCCTTCTGGCCCAGCCTCACCTCCACCAGGAAGCCTCCATAGGTTTGATTTTTAAACACAATGTTAACATTAAATAGACCCCCAGGGTGCCCTCTCAATTTTTCTATATGGAAATGGACACTCACCATGGTGCAGTACTTGTCCAAGGTCTCAAGATGGGAGCTGGCTCTATATTCTAAACATCTATAGAGCTCAGGGTCACACTGAAGATGTGTTCTAACCTTTTCACACATAACGAGTCTCTTCTTCCTACCTGAGCCACTGGTTCCTCGAGGGCAAGAATCTGTCCAAGCTGCCCCAGGGCCTAACCCAGACCTGGGCACATAGCCCCAACTCCCTCTTGTTGGGCCTCACCCTCGCACTTACACTGGAATCCTCTGCAAAGACTTAAGGTGGCTCTGTCCTTCTTGTTGGACACCATCCCTGCCTGGTGGCTCCTACAACTTGGACATAGTGACAAGCTGAGGTTCAGGAGGCCACCTAGAGGTGGAAAAACTGACCTTGAGGTTATTTGTTTTGCCTGAATGATGAGCAGATTTCTCTCAGAATTAGTGGGCTGACTTCCTGCAAGAAAGATCTGGGGCTCAGTATCTGCTCTCCTTCCAGAGTCAGCAGACACCAAGCCACAGCGGAGTGAGGGAGCTGAAGTCACTGAAATCAGATCCACCATCCAAGGAACTGGTTACTCAAGTCTGACTCACTACAGGACAGAGGACAGAGGGGCGGCTCTGGTAGCAGTTTCAGGTACTGGCATACACAACTGTCAGAGGTACACATTTAATAAGAAACCTCCACTCCCATGAAGAGTCCCTTACTAATGTCAGCCAGAAGAGGATTCTAGGGGGCTAGGGGCTGCCTGCACTATCCACATCAATTCCTCTTCCTTTTTCTAAAATCTTAAAGACACCAGGCTCACCATTAACAAAACCTGTCTCCACTAGCAGGCTGTAAACTCTGCAGCCAGGCATCTAGTTCATACTCCAGCTTCCTAGCTCTTGGTGAAGGGTCTGTGCAGAGCAGAAGCTCAGGTAATGTCTGAGAATAAGTGCTGCATATGCTGTAGGCCCTCTGCTTTCTCTAGGAGGCACTTCCTAAATGCTAGGGTATAGAGAAGGAGGCACCTGCGTCACAGTGGTGGCCTCCGGGCCCAGAAGCACCTTGCCTGGGAAAAGGAGCCTGGAATGCTCTGGGAGACATGGATACTTCCCACGTGAGGAAATCTGGGCTCTTTCTGAAAGATGTGGGTGGCTTCAGGAGAAGCTGAAACCTGAGGATAGAGGAAGCGGGGAGGAGAGACTGAGGAACGGAGCTGACACTTACTGAGTGTCTACTATATGCCAGGCTTACCACACCAGGATATTATTATGAAATTCTAGTCACCCCAGAACTGGCCACTGTGTCAAGTCATCCGAAAAGAAGGTTCTACCAGCCTTTTTCAATCTGGTTCTTTGAGAGAATAAAGCCCCAATACCCTAAGGCATCCACTGTGTGCAATGACTTGACTTCTCTCCTGTGGCAGATGGAATTGAACCATTCTGCTTATATTCCACCCTTGACAGAATGGAGAAAATGGTCACTCCAATCATGGTTTCTATGACCTGTGGCTCAGCTGAGGAGCCCTGGCTAAGAAAAGCTACACCCCTCCTTTTCATTGTACCTCACGACCACCTTGTGAGGGAGGAGTATTTGTAGTACACAGCTGGAGGAAGCCTCCACTCAAAGGGGAAGCATCCAAGATCGCAGGAGTAGTAGCTGAACCCAACTCTGAATCTAAGTCGATGTCCTCAGAGATACAAGTGGTAAATAGGAGAGGGAAAGGCCCAGGTCTGCCTTGTTCAACAGTGCACCCCCAAAGCCTGGTACAGCACCTGACAATTAGAAGGTGCTCCATTAACATGTGGCCAAATAAATGAATCCTGCTCTGGAAGAACACTGACGGGGGCACCATGAGTGACTGGGACAACTGCTTCTGCTCATTTCTTTATTCCTGGGCCTCAGAGAAATCCTTCTTGGGGAACACCCTTTGTAGGACACATGCGGAGAGGCTCGCGAATAAGGACCACACGCACTGGCCTGAATGAGGACTCAGCTTTTACTCCGAGTCACAGATAAGAAGCCAACAGCAGTAATCTTCTTTCTTACTCAGCATGCATCAACTAATTCATAAGGGGGTTAAGCAGTTGTTTAAAAGGATAATGAGAGCTAAGTTCACCTACAAAGAAGTAACCTAAAACCTCCTCAGTGCCAAAGGCTCCAAACTGGCTAATGCCTTTTACTGAATTTATAATAAATGAAACACTGTGAACTCAGTTATTTCAACTCAGTTAACAGCCACAAATAGTGGGAGGGACACACCAAGACAAACAAAACAATAGCTCTTGCCCTTCTAGAGTCCACAATCTGGTAGCTGAGACATGTGCACAAGAACCCCACGTGGAATGTGGACAAGGGAGGAGAAGGGAAGTCCGGGCAGGACTTTGAGGAAGGCAGGGTTCCAAATAGGAGGGGGGAAGGTGAGCAAAGGCCAAGTGAGTAAGTCCCACCACAGCTCTGGGGCAGGGGAACACTTTCATGTCACTGGGGTGTGAGGGATCCAAGAGAAAACGGAAAGTTAGACACAAGCTCTGCCAGGAAGAAGCCTTGAAAAACACACTTGTTTTCACTGGTTTGGCGATGTCTTTCTATGCGTTTCACAGGTCCTGCTGTGCGCTAGCTCTCTATGACTTTTCCTTGTTTACCCATCCTACACTCCACCCAAGCTCCCAGTGTGGGGTTTATACCTGGCTCCAAATGAACATTAAATAAACACCTCATAGGCTAAAAAAACTCAAGCCATTTTCCCTGGGAGACATATAGTTACCAATCCTTTAGAAGCTCTGTGAAGTCCTATTTGCTTTGGAGGCTGTGTGTCACAGAACAAGAAAGGATAACCATCCACAAATAGTCTGGCTGGGTCCCAAGTGCACAGGGAACCACAGTTAACTTTGGTACTCTTTGACTCAAAATCTAAGAATTCATCCTAAGAATATATGACAAAAAACACATAAAAATCTGTATCTGCAAAGACATTTATTGCACCAATATTTACAAGAGGAGGGGAAAAAGCAGGAAACAACTTAAATATCTTGTGACCATAAGCACCAGTATGTTTTGGTGCATATTCCCTCAATGGCCTAAGTAGCCATTAAAAACTGCAGGTATAAACATAGGGCAGCAATACAGAAAAGGCTTTTTTACATGCATATATTTTGTTCAAAGTACTCATGAAAAGAGACTGGCAAAGCCCTGGCTTTTGTGGCTCAGTGGACTAAGCACCAGCCTGTGAACCACAGGGTTGCCAGTTCAATTCATGGTCTGGGCACATGCCTGGGTTGCAGGCCTGATCCCCAGTGGGGATCACGTGAGAGGCAACCACACACTGATGTTTCTCTCCCTCTCCTTCCCCCTCCTTTTCCCTCTGTCTAAAAATAAATAAAATCCAGCAAAAAAAAAAAAAACCACTGGCAGAAAAATGCATCAAAATAACAACAG